GCTCGTTTTGGAGACTTGACGCGTGACTTTTTGAGGAAGTCTCGTACGAAACGCTCGTTTTGGAGACTTGACGCGTGACTTTTTGAGGAAGGCTCGTACGAAACGCTCGTTTTGGAGACTTGACGCGTGACTTTTGGAGGACGTCTCGTACGAAGCGCTCGTCTTCGAGACATGACATGTGACTTTTGGAGGCGCTCATTTCGAATGTGACGCGTGAGTTTTGGAGGACACCGCGCGGGTGCCCCCAAGAGTGTCCCACAAGAGAGTGTCCCCACAAGAGTGTCCACAATAGTGTTTCCTACAAGGGTGCCTTTCAAGATTGTCAAGAGTGTCAAAAAAGGTTTGGCCGTTTGTTTTCAAACACGTGTGTGCGTTTGGGTTCGTCGGTTTCATGTTGTTTTTAAGTGCTAGTTTTTTTGGGCTCTGGTGGGCCACCCTCCCTTCCCAGCCCCAGAGCTCTCAGGAATAGTTTTTGTATGTTTTTGTGCGCCTTTGCTTTCTTCAACCGTTGCCATCCGTTTTCCATGAAAAACTACTAGGAGAGGCCTGTCCAAGCAAGGATTTGCAAGTGTACTGCCAAAAGTTGAAACCAAAAGAATCTGTGGCGGGTGCCAGTAGTACGTTTTATATACTGTATTTTCATGTGTTAAGTTATTTGATGTTTGCATGTTAAAACACCAGCTCTTCCCTTCTTGCTTCTTGGGTAAGTTGTTGATTGTAGATGAAACCTGTGCAGACCATGGGTTTCTCAGACAGAACTTCCAAAGTTGTGATTCACGATCATTAAACAGGGACAACGGGACAACAAACCTTTATGACAATGCACATTTTTGTTAAAACAGAACGCCGTGATGCATCTATATACGGTCAAAGTCTGATCAAGTCAAGGATGAAACATTGAAGAACGGATTAATAGCCTTGTATAACGGAGGAGAGTCTGGATAAGGTGGCACATTTTTATACGGTCAGAGTCTTATCATGCTGAGAATTTACAAAGACGAGTATTTTAAATAACATTCTATGATAGAGGAGGGTTTTGAATAGTGTGGGATGTATCTTTATAATGTTATGAAGGATGAGAACTGTACTAACTGTACAATGGAGAATAGCATTGTATGTTAGATTATGATTTTTGATAAGGTAGGATGCTTGTACGTAGGCGTAGGTTTCATAAACGATGGTGTGTGTTCAATCACGTGAAACCATTTTGAAAGACCTTGTAAATCAAACACCCCATCCAATTGTTAGAAAGAAACAGATGTTATGAAGGAACGAAGGGAAGGAGACTCTTCAAAAGGACACTCCTCAAATTAGCTTCATATTTACGAAATCAAACGTGCTAAACAAGTGCCGCAGCCTGGTTCCCTTTGGACCCATCCAGATCATCGGAGCGCTCCAACCCTGCAGGCGAAATTGAAGAGCCGCACGAAGAGCCGCAGGTGGGGCCGACAAGAAGGCGTTGATGCCAAGGCCAACTGTTTGAATCAGACGTGGTACCCTTCCTAAGACTCCTTGTCCTGTTTGTTCTCTAGGGTTTCATAAGATGCAAGTGGCAACATTGGGAACAAGGTATGACCAGGACAATGTTTCCAAACTCTTGCGTGTTTGAGAAACTCTACAGGCTACAGGCATATGAATATGCTGAATTGTTTACAACATATTTTCTCACTTGATACGTAGTTTGGGTTTTCTCACAACATACACCGAATATGCTGTATTTTCTCACTAGTGGCCAAGACTTGATACGTAGTTTGGATTTTGGAGTGTCAAGCGCAGTGAGCAGAATTGCCATAGGTGCCCTGGAGTGGTGGACACCACCTACGCTCTTCCAGCAGTCGGCCATCTCAAGGATGGTGAGGCCTGGAAGTGATCCAAGGATGGCCACATATGGGAACAACTGCTTTCTAGAAAGAGCAGAGGTTGTAAAGGTTTCGTCGCCAGGTTGGATGTCTTGACATGTTGGGCCTGAAGCCACCTCGAACCGAGCAGATGTCGAGGTGAGCCTTTTTGACGAGCCATGTGAAGACGTGGAGATCATTGTGAGCCGACTCGAAGGCGAATGAGGGAGTGTTTTGAGAGGAACCGCTAGGGGAAACCATGGGGAAGGCAATGGAAGGCATGGCATGTCAGTTGGTCTTCAGGGCAGGTATTCTTGGGACGAAGAAATGGTCTTTCTGCCTTTTGATTGTGACCTGCAGGGGTGCAGGGCCAGTCTCCTTCCGATGTGTGCAAAGAATGATCACCGTGACGGTCTGTCACTCGTCGCCCTGAACTGCTATTTCTTCCAAGCTTCGTGCTTCGGGTCTGAGTCCCAAGACCATCCTTGGTCTTAGAGCTATGGGCTATAGATGAAACCTGATGTGGCCAGACTTTCTGTTTGGTGCAGTTCGGGTGTTCACGTCGCCTCCGCCAATGGTGAGGCTTACGAAACCTCCGCCGTGTGCCAGTGAACTGCAGCTTTTGTCGCCGGGGGTGCAAGCGATGCTCCAAGAACAAAGGGCAACTTGGCCAGCATAGCAAGAGAGGGTTACGGTTAACATTTTTGGGGAAAGCGGCCAAACTCCATGCCTTGTAGAATTTTGGAGAACTAAGAACAGTTCATGTTGATCATCCAGTTATATATGAGAATGGATGCTCGCAGCATGAATGGTGCTTGTGGGGACAGCACACGGGCTCGACTCATGTTCCTTCATTTTTCCATGCAGTCCTCACTGTCCTCACTCATCATGTTTTACCTCCACTCTAGACCCTAGAGGACTGACACGACACGGGGTCTGGCAGGGTACGGGGTACCGACGCAGATTTGTGCGTTCGGTGCCAACAGGAGCCGCTTTGTTTCCTGCTTGATTGCATCACACCGTCGGTCTCAGGAAGGGTGGTATCTGCAAAGGTGTGGACGAGAGCAGGAAAGCCAAGCGTCCCTTGGCTTGTGTAAACTGTAAACATGCATGCAACTGGATAGTCTTTTGCCATGCTTTTAGTCCAAAGCTTGGAAGAGAATCAGCTACACAGAAGGCCATCTAGGTGCAGGCCGTCGCTACTAGGGTGGAGGCCATTACTACTAGTAGCAAGAAGCTACTAGTAGCGATGCCCTAGTGGTGGTAACTTGCGGAAAGACACAGGACCTTCACGACGTGTTGTGCTGCCACCAGCCCTGAGCTTGTTGAAGCAACTCCATTGAAATGGAGAACCGTCATGATTCTCAACTCTATCTGCAGTTTTGCATGGGATCGTCAGCTGCAACACATTTGGAGCTTGTCTTAAACTAAGACGCTCCCAGTAGGACGACACTGGTTTCGTTCTGTTTTTTTTCTTTTTTGTGGGGCTTTGATGGATCCGCCGGGGTTGGCGCGCGAGGTGCTGCCTTGCGGTGGGACACTCTGAAAGAGCTTGCAGAAGCGGGGCACCAAGAATTTGGATTTTCAACGGAAGGATGGGTATGCACTAAGAGAGGAACTGAAGGCGTGTTGTGTGGTAGGATTGTCCAGCGAAGCAGCGAGGGAGCGTCAAACAAAGGTGTTGGACTCAATCGAACGAAGCGGCACGGCGACACAAAGCACCGATTTATGGCAGGCGCGCGTCAGCACCAAGCGCAAGTCGTGCGCTAGAAAAAAGGGGCCCCTGAGCCAACAAACACGGTCATGTGGGAGTATGGTGAGGTTTCCATGTTATCCATGCATGAAGCCATGACCGAATCCGTTGCACGGGGAAAAGAGGACATCAGTGATCGGTCCTCAGCGATCACTGAAGCTACAGGCTCAGGAGGCTCCGGCATCATCTCAAAAGTGGTCGTCGAGCACAGCGCATCAGCTTGCCGAAGAGCTCTGTCGATCTTGTCGACTGCCGTCAGGCCCAGCTTCTTGTTCTTTTTGGCTGCCACGAAGTTGGGATCGTAAGCGATCGTCCAATGCCAGGTGGCCATGAATTTGAGGAGGCCTTCACGACTATCGGCCTTCTTCTTCGTCATGGAGTCGGCCAAGTCGTAGTCCGAAGCGAGCCACCTCAATTCGCTGCCACATCTTCGCAAGTTCTCGCGAAGTTGGAAGGCCTGGAGCGCTGCCCTCATGTTCGTGAGCCCCAAAAGCGGGCTCTCGTTGGTCTCCACAGCGTCGTAGCCACCACGGCTGTCGGTGCAGACAACTCCCTTCACCTTCATGGCCTGGAGCTCGGAGGATGCCACCAGATCTCTTCGAAGGTCTCGATGGTGGAATCCTGCTCCGTTGATCTCAGACCACAGCAGGCGTGCTCGAAAGTTGCTGTCCTCTGACTCCAGGACTGCCTGCACTTCAGCATCGTTGGAGGCGATGGCCTTTCTCTTCAACTTCCATGTCTTCCACGTCAAAAGGACCATCGGCGAAACATCGCCTGACAAACTGTCAGGACCAGCCAGGAGGGAGATCATTCCTCCTGTGCTGTCGCCCTTTGGCCTGTTGCTGTGGGCCTGGTCTCCCATGGTGATGACGATGACGTCGGACCAATGCTTCACCTTGGGAGGTCGAAAGAAGCGAAGCCGCTGAGGTTGGACACGGACCTCGCTGATCATGTTCTGGATCTCTCTTGCATGTGTGGTGGTGCCCTCAACCAAGATCTCCGTCAGGAGAAGGTTGCACCGGGAACATAGTTGTGGTTGCGTCTGGATGGCCAACCACTGCAAGGATCCAAGTGCCGTTCGGCAAGAGGCAATCTCCTGGGGCGTGAGTGCCTGGTCAGGAGTTCGAAGGCGCTGCACAGAGACTTCCAGGTCAGGTATGCCCTCGATGTAGGCGTCCTGATCGATCTCAATGCGGAAGGTGCCGTCAGCCTGGTCGATGGTGTTGATGTCAGTGCCAGCATGACGGTACGACCGTCGCTTAATCGTGCCCCACTGGTAGGCCTTGTCGATCTTCTGGCAAATCTCAACCCACTCAGGTGACTTGCTGTTGCCAACCCTGTGAAAGTCGTCCACGTGTCCTCCCATCGCACCGAGCAGAACGGGAGTAGAGGTCACCGGGTCAACTTCACGCTTGCTGAACCAAAGCCAGAGGCATCGCTCGCCAACAGCAGGAACCGCGCCAAGGCCAACAAGAGTCTTGTGCAGGTCGAGCCATAGACCTCTTGGAGCTGTTGTTGAACCATATATATTGCGCAGGATGCGAAGGAGAGCGTCTTGAGGTAGCCCCATAGCCTCCTTGAGTTCAGAGACTCCTGATGTCCAGAGCCGTTGATCGGCTTCAGTCGGTTGCGTCTGCAGGAAGGCGGTCGCAAGATCAAGGCCGCAGATCTCCCATTGGTTGACCACGGAGAGGAAGTAAAGCAGCGATCTTCCAAGTCCGCTTTGGACAGGTGCAGCTGTTTTGAAGTTCCTGTCCATCAAGCTTGGATGCTGGAAACCACATTCGGTGAGGTAGCTGAAGACTTCATTGTTGTCAATCTCAGAGTGAGATTTCAGCTCCTCCACCCACTTCAGATCGTACTCACTGCGAGCTCTTTTGGGATCTCTCTCTGAAGGTTGTGGTTCATCTTCAGGAGGTTCATCAGCAGCGGCATCAGGAAGACTCGGGGTGTAGTCTTCGTAGTCATTGGCAGTTTCCTCAGCCCCTGGTAGGGCCGAGTTGGAAGGCCGCGCCGAGCTCGAAGCGTGAGCAGGAGGTACAAAGTGTTGTACTTCACGATCTGGAGGTTGTAGTCCCAATGGACTGCTGCGGTGTTTCAGCTTGTAGTCGGAGGGCTGTAGCGTAGACTTGCCAGTGGCTCGTCGTATTGGAGCATAGGTCGAAGGATCCGGAGAGAACGGAAGGTTCGGAACTTCAATCTCGTCCTCCTTTGGGAGTTCATCCAGAAGGTCAGTGAACTCTCGCTTGGGCAGGATGTCTGCCAAAGATTTCCACTTGGTGGGATCCTCATCGGCTGTCATCTCGTACTGGAGGCGCTCAACCTCGGTCACCGGCCGAACGCTGTGGACTGAGCATAATCTGTAGATGCGACTCCCGATGAGCACCCACAGGATGTGTCGGCGAGGATCACCTTCTTCTTGATGAGGTAGTACCTCTTGGAAGACAACTCTGCCAGGGCCAACCCAATGAGGTCGTCCAGACTTCTTGAAGCCGCCGCGGCTGCCCTTGTGTTGATCAGCTGGCTGGAATTGACGCCAGATCTTCACCAGCTGCATAGGCGAGAAGGTTCTCAAGGGCTGTCGAACCAGGGTGTTGGAGAGCTTGCTCAGAACTCTCTTTGATCTGGTCTTCACTGCAATCTCCTCAGCCTGTTGTCGGGCTTGAACGAGACGGGCAAAGTCAGTTGAAGGTTCCACCTGCTCGTACGTGCGGTGGTCCTCATCGGTCAGGGAGTAGTGCTTCCCGAAGGCCCATTGCTGAGCAGAATACCCAGCCGTGTACTCAGTTTGGTTCAGAGCTGAGGTGGCCAGAATCAATGTATGAGCCGGCCGAAGGTCCAGTTGTTCCATCTGGAGGACGGTTGCCACTTGCTTGATGTCCTGGATGCCAGCTTCTAAAATGCCATGTGCCCAAGGTTCCTTTTCAGGAGGGTAGTGCACGGCGATGTTGGACTCCCGCAGGAAGGTGTTGAAGCGATCAGAGGTGAAGCTTTTACCATTGTCAACTATCACCATCTCAGGCTTTGGGAAGAGGGAGAGCCAGCGCTCAGTGAAGGCTTCAATGATGTGGTCAGCCGTTTCAGCGCGCATCTCCATGTTGGGGTACTCCATGATGGGCCAAACCACACGAAGCTTCGTAGCCAGATCCATCATGAGAACAAACTTCACCTTGTTCTTGGTGGCTGGAATCTGCCATTCTGCGGTGTCCATGCCAACAGCTTGCCATGCACTCCACATAGAATGAGTGCTCGCCGGTGGAATGTTCTTGCTGGAAGTGCCACCAGGTCGAATGGCCTCACAGGCCGGACATTTGTGTTCCAAAGCCAGTTCGGACTTCCAGGCTGGCTGACCGGCATTCTTGATCAGCTTGGCCAGGTTCTTGTTGGTAGGATGGCCAGCTGCCTTGTGGAAGTGAGCTACCCTTGCCATCCATTGTTTCTTTTCTTGTTCAGAAGGAACTTCCACTGGTTGTAGGGCTTCTTCAGCAGGAAGAGCATTGAGGGTGCCACCGTCATCGTCGGCAAGGAGGTAGAGCTCTTCATTCTCCAATGCAGCAGGTGAGTCCTGCTTCATGAAGAGGAGCCGAAGATTGCGATCAGACACCATCTCAGCTCTCCAGAATCGTGCCCAGGACTGGACAAGCTTCCAAGGGTAGTAGGCGCTCTTGGCGGTCTCGGCGCCTTGAATCAAGGTGTGTGAGTGGCCTCCATGGCATACCTTAGTCTTGTAGGTGGCATGGAAGTGTTCACAGGTGGTCTTGACAAGCCACTTCTTGTGAAGATGATGTTCACCTCGAGAGTCCATCATGCCATGGACGCAGCCATCAATGCGGCATGAAAGCCAGGGAATGTCCAAAGCTGCTAGGAAGGTCTCGAGGTCGACCATTGGAGGTTCTTGCCACCCTTGACATGGGTGTGTCCACTCGAAATAGATCTTGGTGTCGGGAGCTTTGGAAAGGGTGTCCTTCACAAAGTCATTCATATACCAAAGCATCTTTCTTTCCTTCTTGCGAGCCTGCCGAAGTTCTTCAGGTCGTGAAGCATAGTTGAGGTAGGTCCAGCGGCAGAACTTTGTGCAAGGAAGGCTGAACCAAAGCTTCCGTGGTTTCTTCTTGGACCGAAGGACTTTCATTCGCTCCCAAGTCTCTTTCCTGTAGAGATCATAGCCTTGTTCAAGATTGATGCGGCGAGGTTGAAGTCCTTGACGTTGGCATGCTTCCGACAGCCAACTGTGGGGAGCACATGCGATCTCCCAAATTCCATCATTGTCTCCCAAACAGAGACTCATAGTTGCACTTGCCATAGAGCTCAACAAGGTCGTAGCCAGGAGCAGCAGCTTAGCGCCGATCTTCAAGGGCAGATGCATAGGCATCTTGGTAGAAGGACTTGATGAACTGGTAGTAGCACTCTTGGAAGATGGTGTAGTGCTCGGAGAAGCCTGTGTCATTTTCTTCCGGGATGGAGTGCCAGGGCTGCCCATCATAGAGCTCTTCAAAGGGCCTGTAGCACTCTTCCGTGATGTAGTCTTCACGCTGACTTGGCTTCCTGCTCGTAGGCAGATGCCAGGCTCCCGGACCCAGTCTCCATGTCCACAGCCAGCTTGGCTGCTGCCTTGCGCTCTTGAAGCATCTTCGTCAAATGCTCCATCTCGCTCGGGTCCATGTAGTCCTGAAGTTCGACCCAATGCGAAGGTGGTGATGTCGGAGGAGTTCCCACCTTGTCCCATGATGGAGCCGGGCTCGTGTCGCGGCTGCTCTTCTTGTCGTAGAAGGGAGGCTTCTCGCTCAGCTGAGGCACTCGCTGGAACACCGGTTCGACCATTCCCTGCAGGGCCTCGTCGGCATCGATCTTCTTCTGCATCAGGAGGCAGATCGTGGCCGACGGAGTGCGTCCTCCCATCACCTCGTACAGCTGTGTGAGCATCTTGATCGTCAAGGGTGGACTGTCGGTCTTGGTGTTTTGACCATGTGAGCCCACTCGTGGAGTGTACTGGAGGCGAAGGTTGCACGTGCTGCAGTGAACCCAGCGGCCGTGCGGATTGGCATGAGCCTTCATTGGGACATGTTGTCCAAAGCATGGCCATTGGCCGGGATCGGTTCGAGGATCCCTCGGATCTGCCAGCACGGTCCGCTTGTCGTCGAACGGCTGCGGTGTGGCCTTCTTGTCCGTGGCTGAGCGGATGTCCCACTGGATCCCCTCTTCCTCCAGCTCGCTGGCGCGTGGAGCTCGCCGGGCCATGGTCGAGAGTCGAAGCTGGGGAAGCGGGAAGCGAATTGGAATCAGCTTCTCCGCAGCGATGCATTGAAGCCAGGGCTGCACGGTGATCGAAAGGATGCAAGCTCAAGCTGCTCCGATGAAGTTGAAAAAGAAGTGCACGTGACTGTTGAAGCTGACTCTCATGAACATGGTGTGCATCAGAAACTGACATGTCATAGTACTCAACAGGGTGGAACTCCAAGGTGTGACATGCATGACTCACATCTGCCGAAACCCGAACCCGTGGATGTCCAGTGGACCTGGTTTGACCCATGGTGAGGTACTCAACAATGTCCATGATATAGTGACCCTTCCGATTGCATGGTAGTTGATATTCTTGGGGATGTAGTGCATAGGAATCCATGGCCAAACCTGTTCGAAAATCCACCAACATAGCTGAAGGGTTACCTGACAAGTGGTCCATGCCAATGAGAATGGGCACCAACGTGTTCCTGTCAAAGTCCGGGTGGTGTAGGTTTGGGGGATTTGGCAATGCAAACAACTTGAAGGTTCGAGCACTTCCGGCGACGGTGCTCGTGAGAACCACTTGATAAAGTGCACGACCCCATCCACCGTTGCCGAAACGAAAAAACGGACGAGCATTCTTGTATACCTCCACGGACGCTTGACTGTCCTTGGTCAAAATGGATGAGACCAAGGCCTCGACTGCAATCTGTGGCCCGGCAGAAGCCGTTGCTCCGCAGTCGATAAGGCCCATGTGAGGTGCCATGGTAGCCACAGGTGATGTCGCTGAATGGACATCCAAGGCTCCAGAAAACTCTAAACCAAAAAGCTCGTTGGTGTAGGCATTGACGGAAGGTCGTGACATGGTCCCCTTTTTGCCCTTGCCGGACTTGGAGGATTTGCCCTTTTGGAAAGCTTGAAGTTCCATCCATGAGGCAGTCTTGCCTTTCTTGCCCTTCCCCTTCATGTAGTAGAGCTCGTCGGTCGTGTAGTGACCCTTTCAGCCCTTGCCCTTGCCAACAGAGGGATGCCGTCGATCGGGACAGTCTCGGGAGAAATGCGGGCCGCCGCAGGTCCAGCACTTGGTGGGAGAAGACCCCTTGCCTCCTCCAATCACATGTCCAAACCCGCGATCTTTCCGAAGTGCCTGAGTGGCACGTTGAGCTTCAGCCCATGAACGCTGGGCTTCCATTGCCAAGCCCTCGGCAATCTGCTCTGCCTTCTGGGCCTCCTTTATCGCGTCATCGTCTTCCTCTGAAGCCTTCGCGCCCTCGTGCTCCTCGATGGCATAGCCCCATTCTTCATCATCTTGCCACCAGTCATCATAGTTGTCATCATACTGGGCCACGTTGGCGTCATCCCACCAATCATCAGAAGGTGAGGTTGCTTCTTCAAACATGGCCTCATGGGTCTTTGAAGGAGACCAACCACCAGCATGGCGACGTCCGACCAATTGGTCGTCCCAGAGAGTCTGTAGTGCCTTGGTGACAACCTCGAACTCGAGGCTGCCCTTGGTTGTGCTGATGATGTCTCGCATGTCGTCTGGTGACAATCCGGAGGCCTGCAAGAGACGGAAGCCACGTAGGACACCAAGGACGAAGCTGTCAGCCAGGCTCAACTCTGTAACACCAGGGAGGTCCCATTGAACTCCAGCTGAATGCCTCGAAGGTGAAGACGATGAAGCCACACGTGCATAGTTCCCGTGAGGCGAACCACTATCAGCAGCAGCTGCATGGGTGGAGCCCACAGGTGAGGTCTGAGTCTCCTCATCTTCGTAGCCCCAACTGGTCCATGGTTCCTCTTGTTCCCACTCCTCATCATCTGGCGGGAGGTCGAAGTCCAGATCGTGCTGCTGGATGCCATTCTTCTCCTCATAGAGTCTAATGATGGCCTCACTGAACTCAGCATAGCATAAAGCCTCTCTGACAAGAAAGCTTTGCATGCTTTCTCCACTGTTTCGTCGGAAGCTAAAGTATTGCTGGCAGATCGCAGCTGCATTGGGAAGCGATTGCCGCACCAGTGGAGAGGATGCCAACCTGCGCAAGAAATCTCGAGTTCCGCCAGCATGGTCAAAGCTGACGGATGTCCATGACATAGCAAGTAGCCTTGCAGGGCCAGTGAGGCGTCCCACAAGGCGATGAGCGCAGTATCGCCGTTTGTGCGTTGGCGTGGATCGAACATACCAGCTCACTTCGCGATGGTATTTCCTCCACGTCCTCGCACTGCCGTCCCAGGATGGGACATGATGTCCGGAGTCTTTCTCCGTCATGCCAGGCAAAATGCCTGAGCCACAAGTGAACTCGCCAAAGAGCTCGGAGAGCAAGTTGAGGCACCAAGGAAGGCGTCAACCAAGTAGTTCCCAGTGAGCCAAAGGCGCAGGGCCAAACCAAGCAAGCCAGGTGCCAAGACCAAAGTCGTAGAGCTCCAAGAACAAGTAGGCACCTAAGAGGAAGGCAAGCAAGCGACAGCCAATGCCAAGCTCCTCAGGAGGGAGCACCGGCCGTCAGGCCCCGGAGCTTGTGCTCCGCTGCCAATCCAGCGAAGCAGCGAGGGAGCGTCAAACAAAGGTGTTGGGCTCAATCGAACGAAGCGGCACGGCGACACAAAGCACCGATTTATGGCAGGCGCGCGTCAGCACCAAGCGCAAGTCGTGCGCTAGAAAAAAGGGGCCCCTGAGCCAACAAACACGGTCATGTGGGAGTATGGTGAGGTTTCCACGTTATCCATGCATGAAGCCATGACCGAATCCGTTGCAGATTGGTATCACTTTGTGGGAGTGAAGTGTTCTTTTCCATCCCGTTGGAATTTGGGTTGTTTGTTGTGGTATCAAGTTTCTGCGGCGAACAAACCAACAGGTACCATCAGGCTCTAAGGCTTCTAAGGAAGCTCTTTTTCAAAGCCAGATCAGATGTCCTTTGACATCTTTGATGTGAAGCGGTTTTGGCTTTTCACGCCGCACTGGTTGGTTGGTTGTTTGGTTGGTTGGTTGGTTGGTTGGCTGGTTGGTTGGTTGGTTGGTTGGTGGTCGGTTGGCGAGGAGCTGTACCTGCTAGTACACTCACTCTCAGCACCCCTTCTGATTGTACTTGGCAGCATCTGGCAGGTGAATGACATTGATGCCATCGTAGAGGAGGTCACTCGCCGTGGACGACAAATTGAGTTTGACGCGCGGCCACAAAAGGTCCAAGCGTGCTTTGGACATAAGCCAGATAATGACAATGACACACCCACAGACACAACGACACACACTTGAGAAGGTTGCTCCGTGGAGCGTGATTTCAGGCTGCTTCGCGGTGTGCATTAGCCCTTTACATTTAGGTACAGCATTAGCCGAGAGCATTAGCACTTTATTGCAAAAGCAACGTATGAGACAGCGTTGAACTGACTTAGAAGCATCAATGAGTGAAAATTAAAAATTGCAGGTACAAGATACTGCTTTGTTAGCACGGCTAGGTGAACGGCCGCCGTGCCCCCTGCTACTGTACAGTGGTTGGAAGGCTCATAGGGTAGGTTAGAAAAAGTACTAGAGTAGTGTCCTTGGAAACAGGAGTGGACACACACACACACCCGCGCACACACCAGCACGCGCACCCGCACTCGCAAACACAGACTGACAGACATACAGGTTTTGCGTTGATGTGCCGCAGTCAAGATCCCTCCTTTTGCTTTTGTTTCGCAGGATTCAAACAAACTTCACATGCATCGTAGATGACCACCACTTTCCTGAATGTTTCTTGTGTGGGTTTTCCCTGACTTTGGGGTTTTACATCAGGTCCTTGAAGCACCTCTTTTGGGAGTGCTTCAGAGTCCTGAGGAGGAGATGGGCGATTTGGACTGCATGGACATGGTCCATTACGAGGCCTGGAAAGAGGAATTGTATCATTTATAATTGTTGTATTCTACCTTCGAACCGTAGATCTAAAGAAACCACAAGCAGGGGTTTGCTATCGTTTCGTCTGCCGATCTCTAGGCCAAGAACTGGGATCCTTTGCCCGCGGAAAGTGGAGATGCGGCCCAGTTCCAGGTGGGGTGACAAGAATTGTGCATTGCCGTTTGGTGTTGTTTGGCTGGTAGAGCCCTTTACTTACAAGATTCCATGATTGCTCAGGCAAAGCGAGTGAAGTATAAAATCTTTGGTCCTTCATGCTAGTATCATTGAATCATCTCTTAATGGATCGAACCGTGACAACAAAACGAAACTAGTATCAAATATACTCCGAGTACTTGCTTTGTTTGTTAAGACTCTCAGGTGAGAGGTTGCTTGTCCTGGATAAGAGGGATACACTCTATTTTTAATCAAGCAAGTCCAACGCCAAGGTGCTATGACTATACCAAAATATCCACCAACAAACCTGTAGCAGCAGCAGGAGGAGCAGCAGGTAGAGGAGTAGGAGCAGTAGAAGCAGGTGTAGGAGAGGCAGTAGCAGCAACAGAAGCATTTGTCGGTTCGTGATATGGCGAACCTGTGCTTTGAATCCAACCGCTTGACTTTGAGATCCTGAATGCACAGTTATTAGCTTGGTTGGGAAGAGAGGTTTAGTGCTACTATATAGTACTGGTGCCACTACTAGATCTGGTGCCACTACTACTGCTACTACTGCTGCTACTACTACTGCTACGACTTCCTCATTTGCCTTGTCCTCCTGCTCCTTCTCCTACTGCCACTGCCACTGCTAGATCCTCAATGCCAAACATGACTCTGATATGACTGGCAGGATTGAGGCTAGTTTGTTGAAGCTGCCTGATTTGTGGGGATGGCTCTTTCAATATTCCTCAGTTGGCTTTGCGTGCGGTGTCCATATCCCTGTGCCAACCCATCGGCACTTCATTGACTCCACCCTCCAGGCCGCTGGAATGGAGAACTTTGAGGCAGGGCCACGACATATAACTTGGGAGACTCCCCCAAAGGCACCCTGGGAACTTGCAGAAACACAGCACATGTCACTCAAAAACAGGAGTCATGAAGGCATTCTTGATAGATTTGCTTTCCAATGCAACCTGACACTTGGCACAACAAGTTGCTGGTGGTGTGGTATGTGCAACAGGTCACCCTGTAGATAAGCACGAACTACCAAAGCGTTAATGAGGTTGGAACTTCACTGGAGTTTGCACGTGATTTTGGCATTATTTGGAAGGCAGCCAGCGAGTCTTCCTTTGTCTTCGTCGACTTCGTCGATGATGATGCCTGTTCTTGTGATAGTTGGGCTTGTGTTTGACAAAGATTTCCATCGTCCCAACTCTTACAGAAGGACGACATATTGCAACCATGGGGTCAGAGATTTGATGTCCAGAAGCCATAGCTTACGTGCCTTGCACGTATGCAGCATTTTGCCGCTTCCTGCGGCACGCTGCAGCACTTGTACAGTCCACATACACTTTCTCTGGCAGAAAAAGGCCCACATTGCTGCCGGCTCCAGAGAGCTTGAGAAAGGCTTGAAATAGCAGAACTTTACTTTGCTGTTTCGTCACGATGACAATTCTTTTGGTCATCTTGTACAGCACTATTGGGCAGAGAGCTTCAAAAAGCCAAGTGCTCCGCGAGACCAGAGTGGGTGGATTCAGTGGATGAAAGTCAAGCTCTATATAAACAGATTCAGATGGCCTCTATATCCGACCGGCTTGTTTGACCTTCGGTTTTTGTGAGATTCTAAACACAGCAGCCTAGAAACAAAGGACTCGGACGGTGCAAACCAGAGTCAGTCCTTTGAGGGCGAGAACCGTAGGTCTGAAACGCGGAGCTCGTTTTCGATGCGGATTGGAGGTCAAGCATCTCATTCAGGTTTCAGAGTCTCATACTAGTAGTGCATTGCAAAAGAATGCAACGATTTTGCAAGGTTTCCTGCGGGTTGGTAGAGTGAAAGCATGAAACATAATGAAACTCCACACTTTCTTTGGCTGGCAGCTGGTCTGTCCGGTATTGCTTCACGGCCGCTGGGCTGGTCGTCTGCTTTTTGTCCTGAGGCCGACTTGACACTGCGAGCCCTGAGGCGTTGGCCGGTGGCCAAGCCCCCCAAGGCTCCCAAGAGACCCACGCGGCTGGAGCCGCCCTACTTGGACGTGGGGACACCAAGCTGGGAGAAGACGAGTCTAGTTTTGTAGGGAAGTCTCTTCAAGGGTGCCACGCTAGTAGTAACAGGTGCCACGCTAGTAGTAACAGGTGCCACGCCCAGTATCCCCATCCTTCTTTCACATGTCAGCACTCAGGACCCTACCTTCGTCCACCCAGACCAGCAGAACCAGGGCGAGCGCGAGTGGCTGATGAAGCACAACGGTGGAGGCGTGAAGGACTGGGCCACCAGAGGTGCGTAGCGTTTGACTTGAAGAAGTCGAAGATCAGCCACTCTCGGAAGGACCCAGTGACCCATGCGCACACAGTCCTTTTTCTCCTCCTAGTCAGATGCGCACACAGTCGAAAGTCAACGGCTCGCAAGAGAGTACATGTTCTCGCTGGAACTTTTGCTCGCTGGCCAATGTCCAGGAGTTGCCTGGCTTGCCTGATGACTATGAGTGGATTAAGGCGTGGAACAGCTTTGAGTGAATGGCTGGTGGTTTGATCGCTCCGGCTCGGCTTCACTTGATAAGTCACCAGGATGCCGCCGAGAAGGACGAAAATGCTTGGATCGCAGTAAAGAAGCGGATGTCGAAGGCTGGATTCGATCTCATACAGTGCAGTGTAAGTGTCGGCAAAGCGGATTCTTTATACCTTGTACATCGGGACAGTTTTCGAGCCACTCTCATTCAAGCTCATATTTGTTTTGACCCTTTAAAAAAAGCAATGAGTACATGTCCGAACCTGAAAAGGTGACCTTCGATGCGATCAAACGCACCACAGCTGAGTTGCAGGATGCGCCTCGGCTCACCACAGGTTGCACACCAAAGACTTGAACCGGACATGAAAGTGACACACATGTTCCAAGCGGTTCGACTTTCATTGAGCTTTTGGCCAGATCCTCGAGGCTGTTGAGCGTCCGAAAATCATGCCATGCAGCACAACCATGGAGTACAATTGGAGGCTGCTTTCGTCCCACTTGATTTGTACCTTTGCTGACGATGTCTGAGGATCCCGAGCGTTCAAATGAGAACAAAATAGGACCACTGGCGTTGCATGCACACTTTCTACTCACCTTTCGCATTGTTTGTTGCTCCTCCCAGGCGCTTTACACGCGACAGCCGCTGGTGATCCGCCAGCAAATTGAAGTAGCCATGGAGCAGAACAAGGCCCAAGAGGTAGTTGGTCAATTTTTTGTGCAATTGCAACGGGGAGCCGGTTTTCTCTGTTTTGGAAATTCCTAACTAGTGAGGGAGCTTTCCAAGCCCACTCCACATTTGAAGCTGGTGCAGCCGTCAACACTGAACAGCGCAGAATGGTTGCTTCTCTATTTGCATGATGGCCAACAAGTTCTAGTGATTCTTCAGGGAAGTTGCTGAAGGTTATTTTCAAGCATCGGGTGATTTCTTTGATCCCAATGTTTGTTGTCCTGTATGGTCCACCCCTCGGTTCCAAGCAGGCCAAAGAAGGCCCCAGCAGCAAGGCGATCCTCCAAGCAGAGGTGGGCAAATCGTGAGAACTCTGAGATGAAGCTGTGTAACACTGTCCAGCCATGTCCAGCCTCTCTTTTTTTTGCTTTTCATTTTTGCAAGGTGTTTGTTTGGTTTGTTCTTTGGCCCAGACTTAAAACACACATTCTGGGGTTGTGATCAGATTCAGCTGCTGGGCTTTTGCCAGATCAGTCTTAAAGTCCTCTAGCCTTTGGTCGGGAGTTCTGGGATGCAAAGGAGTATGCCAAGAAGCTCGAGGACTATGAGAAGGACGCACAAAGCACCCCAGGTCTGTCACTACTGAAAACCCTCGAATGCCACAGGCTACATCAACACTTCGGATTTTTTTTGGTTGCGTTTATGGCGAACTTTTGCGCAAACGACCCAGACAGAAGTTGGGTAATGTTGGTTTCGGTGGCAACGGTCACCACGGCACCATCAAACGTCTAGGAGATGTATGAGTTGCGTTGCAGTGAGAAGGCAAAGGAAATACCCTGGAGTACTATTTTAATTTCTACAAGGATTGTTAATTTGTGATCTTTGTTTGTGTAATCCACGTTGTCAGATTCTTTTTCAGTGAAGTACACTCCCGAAAACTAACATGGACCCTGAAAACCACTGGTTGGTAGAGGAAAACAATCTTCCAGGTTACCATTGTCGGGGTCTATGTTAGTTTTCAGGAGTGTATATTACTATATAAATTGTATAGTTATATATATATATATACATAATATACAGGAAGGGTGCACTTCATCAGTGCCTTTGTTGGGGCTTGGGGTTCGGCAACAAATGCTGGCCTGCAGGCAGTATGCACAGTCTAGAGGGACTAGTGCCAGTTGGTTGAAAGGAGCAAGAGGAGCTTCGGGAGAAGGAGGAGGCGAGGACAACTGATGGCGTCCCTGCTGCTCACTGCTTGCCAGGGCTACTTCACAAAGCTTCTTGGACCCTTGGAATCCCTCTGCATGTCTAGCAAAAGCAGATGATTCACCCATGGGTTACATTTACCCAAGGTTGCAAGACCATGGGGTCAGCATTGCGCAGAACACTTGGGAGATCCACGATTTCATACTCCGCACATCTCGCTGAAATCCATCACACAGTATTTTTTTCGAATGCTTGGAGCATTTAGCCTGTTTGCTGAACACATATGTTGGGACCATTGCAAAGCTGGCAAATGTTCGGGTGCCAGGAGGAGCTTCGACAGGAAGTGGCCGACTTGGACCTCACCGAGGCCGGAGATGGGGAGGACCAGCAAGAACTGGGGAGGACATTCCCCAAGCAAAAGAAGCGATGTCCATGAGAAGAGTTGAGATTGACCTAATTTAACCCTTCACTCTTGTGGTTGGGAGTGGTGATGAACTTTTTTCTTTGCAAAAGAGCACACATCGCCGTTGATCACTGTGAAGCGACCAGGCTTTGGCACCGGATCGAGCTGGCAAGAGCCAGGCAGGATGGCCACCGTGGACCACCTTGATAACTTTCTCTGAGTATTTTTTAGAGCAAATGGTTGCTGCAAGATGCTGCAAGATGGTATTTGACCAGATATACTGATCTGATCTGATCTGACCCCAAAGGCAGCAGATTGCTCTGCAAACGCTACAAGAAAGCTCTGTCGCCAGCCAAGCCCAAAGGCTAGCTTTGCTTCCAGCCATCCTCTTCAGCGTGCGCGACGGCGACTCTTTGTGAAGGTACGGAAGGAAGACTGCCCTCAAACAATTCGATTACTGTATCTCAAAAGCTTGCTAAGAGTTCAACAACCATATGTTTGATTTTTCCCCAGATAGCGAAGCTATGGGGTTCTTACTTCAAATAACAATGAGTTGCCCGTGCGCGCTTTCGAGACAGGTTGCTGGTGCTGGGTGCCGGTGCTGGTGCTGGTGCTGTGAGCTGGCTGTGCACGTGGTGGAAACAGGTTGCTGGTGCCGGTGATGGTGCTGGGTGCCGGGTGCTGGTGCTGGGTGCTGGTGCTGGTGCTGGTGCTTTGAGCTGGCTGTGCACGTGGTGGAGACAGGTTGCTGGTGCTGGTGCTGGGTGCCGGGTGCCGGCGCTGGTGCTGGTGCTGTGAGCAGGCCCGGTGCTGGTGCTGGTGGTGTAGCTTGCATATGTAAGGGGGTCTATTTTCGGATCTTCTTCCTTCAACTAACAACAATGAGCTGCCCACGCGTGCGCTTTCGAGACAGGTAGCCGGTGCTGGCGCTGATGCTGTGAGCTGGCTGTGCACGTGGTGGAGACAGGGTGCCTGGGTGCCGGTGCTGAGCTCTCAAGTGTCCAGCCCTTAAGTCAATGACGTGCTTGCTGGTGTGGTGCTGTGAGCTGGCTGTGCACGTGGTGGAAGCAGGGTGACAGGTGCTGGGTGCCGGGCGCTGGTGCCGGTGCTGTGAGCTGGCTGTGCGCGTGGTGGAGACAGGGTGCCGGTGCTGGTGGTGGGTGCTGGCTGTGCGCGTGGTGTACGCGCAAGATCATACGGCCTTATCGTTCTGCAGATCGTTGCTTCAAGCGTGCTACAAAGTCAATAGTGGCGCTGGATACTGCTTGGCCTTGGGCCAATGACACTTACGGGCTTTGCTGTTTGCGCGCGTACTTTTGTGCGCATAAACTTATACGCGCAAAGATCATACGTTGGTATTCCCCAAATAGGGATAGTAAAAATGAGCTGGCAGCGCGCGCTTTCGAAAGGGTGTCGGTGCTGGTGCTGGTGTTGTGGTCCTGGGTGCTGGTGCTGTGAGCTGGCTGAGCGCGCGTTTAAGACTGGCGGCGCTGGTCGGGCGCTGGCGCCGCTGCCGGTGTTGTCAGCTAGCAAAGCGCACCGGTGTTGGTGTCAGCTGATTGTGTGCGCTGTGGAGGTGCCGTAAGCTATTTGTGCAGGCTTGCGGACATTCTTGTTCCAGCCAGCCGCATGTCAACAGGTCGTGGGATTCTGCCTAGCTATCTGGGTCTATGCTGGTGAAATTTTTGTATACTCACATAAACATGCAATCAGATAAAGGGCAGTGGTCCAAGGGGTCTTTTGTGCTGGTGACATGAGACACATTTTCTTGCTTGAAAAGCCCCCAAAGCTCTCTAACTTTGCCAAACATCTGGACGCCAAGACCCTGTTGGTGGTTGCTGGACATCACCATGTAGACGGTGCGAGCATTCTGGGTCAAGAATCTGGTTTGGAGAAGACCTTTGTCGCAGATCCTCTTGCGGCGGGCACGTGCCTTCGAGCTTCTTGGGCATTTGGACGCCAGCCTGGAGGATCTACTTGCAGCTCGGAACCCAGTGAAAGCAATGGTGGCATTCACAGAGCAGCAAATCTGCCAGGATTGAACGGGGCAATGGTCCAAAACTGTTGGGTTACTTTTAGGCATGAGCATTCATGAAGCCACAAAATATTGAGCTAAGTCCCAGATGTGGCGTGACATGCACAGGGAACCCCATGACAATGACTCTTGCAGTGCGTGCGCAGTTGAGCTGTGGCAGTTCAAAAAGCACCGGCACAGTTATGACGCATATGACTCAAGAAACCCACAGAGGCCACCCGACTGGTAATCTGAAAGACGGCCAATTCACCGGAAAAGAAAAGATTCTTCCAAACGACTGGGTCTTCAACCGACTCAGCATGGAAAAGCAGGATCCACAAGCTTGAAACTTTCCAGCAGGGTGGCTCCCACCACCTTTTCAAGACAGGATTTATGATGTTCCAGAGCGCAGTGGCTCTCACCTGGAAAGCCTAGTGCCTTGTGTGACAGCTATGGATAGACTTCTATCAGCACCTTGGCAAAAAAGAAGAAGTCCTGGTTCTAAGGGGCGGATGAATTCACAAATCCCAAAGGTCCCACATTGATCACATCAGGGCTGTTTGTGGGTAGAGAGGCAGAAGAGTCCTTGGCCTGACTATCCGGCTGACTTTGTCCATCTTTGGCCTCACTGCACTTCTTGAAGAGATACTGTTCTCGTCATGTGTTTGTTTTTTCATTGCTCTTTTTTCATTGCTGCAGAGATGAGGCCTTGCAGAGCTACGATGCTGCTGCCACTTGCTGTGAAGATACATAAGATACATGGTCAGGGGCATTTGCTTCTTGCCCCGGGGCAAAGAAAAGAGTTCAAGGACTCCGAATTAGAGAAAAGGCAACTTTCTGACTTTCTTTTAAGTTTTCCTAAACAGGGGGAACCACATCATCAGTGCGAGCGCTTCTTCAAGGAAGCTTCACCCACCGCCTTTAGGGCGGCGGGGGGAGCTTCCTTGAAGCGTGAGCTATCCTAAGTCCATATGTAGTTAGTAGCGTTCTTATAGCTACTAGCGACTCCCTTGCTTCTACTAGCTACTCCTAGCTAGCTAACCTCAACCTACCTCTACTAGCGGCCTACCCCCTTAAAACATGTCTTAAAACAGTATATCTTAATAAATTCCGTTTGCCTTTGGGCTTCTGACTCGTCTCGTCGAGGTCTTCGCCCGACCTTTCACGACCAACATGGCCACCTGTGGCTTCATCAACGTGGTCTCGGAGCTGCTGCGGCAACGCCTCCAGGGGGTGCCTCGGTAGGAGACGTACAGGTCGAGGAGACCTGTGAGACAGGACTCTTGAGTCACGAGAGATGGAACTGCTTTAACCTTAAATGAAACCGAATTGACATAGACCTTAGGTTCCTTAGATGGCCAAGGGGCTAAGCTGGCGGACAAAGGGCGTCGTTCGAATCCTTAGAGTCGGCATCCTTTTGTATATATAGTCGTTTCTTCTTAGTTGAATGATGGCGCAAAGGGCTTTGAGTGTGTTGAGGCTTCGGACCCCACCGGTGTTCCGCGGCAAGCATTACTTGGAAGCCCCTTGGTGCAGCAAGTGGTTCATCTTGAAGCAGATACTCAGTTTACTCAGTACCTGAAGGTAGCGAGGGAATGAGTTCATAGGTCATAGATGAACTGTTGACTCTGAGGGCAAGACAATTTGCATTGAGGTTGCCTGGTGGCTCCACTGTCAACTACATGGTTCATGATTCTGGAGCGGCTTTTTCGCAGCTGGGATGCCTCGAATCTAGGCTCAGTTTTTGATCCAGCTTGATCTGATGGATCATTTTGAGGATCGCCCAACGCATGCTGCTATTGCTCAGCTGAGTGTGATTCCAAAGCAAGGAAGGTCATCGCGGACGGATGGATCATATTTTTGAAAGCATTGCATGGCAAAATAATTTTCAATAGTAACAAGAAGCTACTAGGGGCTCCTGGCCTTACTACTAGGGGCGAGGACGCTACTAGGGGCTCCTGGCCTTACCTTCTAGGGGCAAGGACGCTAATAGGGGCTCCTGGCATCGCTACTAGGAGCATTCTTACTACTGGCACCGGCGGCGAACACCCGAACATCCAAGGAGTTTGGCGACGGTGGTGTCAAAGACCTGTTGCGAGCAGGCCTTTCGAGCAGGGCTTCGGGCTTCGCATTTTTTTCGCGGTGTAGCCTTTGAGAGACTCTTTGCACCATCGAAGAACCATTCCATTTTGTAGCCAAGATATTCGTGGGAATCAAGAAATGCTCATCTTACTTTCAGCATCATCGACACCCTAAAACACGAACAAGAAAACAACAAATTTGAGTCAATTTCAATTCGTGTTTAGTTAGCACTTTGGCATTCTTCACTTCGTTTTTGCAACGAGGCCTTTTTCGCACCCGTCATCAACACCTGCATCTTGGCGGCTGTCGAGTTGCACATACCTGCCTTTGTTGCATGGACCTCGAAATGATTTGGTCGCACTTCCCAAGACAATCCGCTTGAACAGAAGTAGGACTCTCTCACGTTCATGGGTGGACAATCGACCATTCTTTGTGTTTAGCCTAGTTTGGGAGGACGCCTGACCTGTGAGGCTTCATGACTTTCCAGGGTCTTCTAGAAGGTCGTGGAATTCAGGAGAGGCTTGGGAAACAGATTGGAGGACCCACTCGAGATCAAAGTTTGACAACAGAATATTCGAACTTGTAGTGAGGAAGGCAGGCGTTTGTAGAAGCTTGGTGTTGAAGCTGAAAGAGAACTCAAACATACAATATTTGGGAGTCCCAGTTTCCAGTTCCAGAATCTGCTTGAAGAGCGGCCTTTGCCAGCAGTCTTGGGGCATTTGCTTTGGCTCAGACTCAACCGTCTCATCGGCTCGCTGCGTCCTTGTTGCTCGTTGCGCCCAAAAAGCCCTGACCAACTTGACGATGAGAACGGTGGCCTTGCTCTTGCCAGCCTTGGCCCTGGCCAATCAGTATGAGTCCGAGCTGCAGGCTCTCAAGGACCTCGTCCGTCAGCAGGGGCAGCTGATCAAAGAGCAGGAGCTTCGTCTTAAGGAGCAGGAGGATGAAGGTCGTCGTCTTCAGACTGCTCCTTGAAGGCATTGGGACCCAGGCAAGAGGTGTCACGAAGTATCATCCATGGCAATCCTTTTTGGAACATTTCAGACATATGACTTATACCGAGGACTTTACACGATCTTCAAGCCTATATATATATAATCTTTTGGAGTCTTTCATGGGTCCCAAGTTTCTTTTGATTGTAGTGCCAAGGTAAGCGAAGCGGATTTCACTGCGACCGTTGCGACTCTGAACTCCTCGATCTATAGCTCCTTGAACGAATGGGCCAGATGATCGCCTTTGTAACGAGGTGCATGTATTCACCTATTTTGTAAGCATTCACCTGTTACTCTTGGAATGTTCGGCAGGATCAGGAAAGTGAGCATCTCCAGAGAGCGAAGTCGAACCTGCCATTAACATCGGAATAAGCATATAGGCATGAATAGGCATGATATCGTTGGGAACTGCAAAGAACCAGCACCAGGCAAAAGAAATTCTGTTGCCAGGTAGGTAAGCATAGATCCAAGGAATGACATTGACATGTGAGGTTTATGTGGTTCGTATGTAGATCTTCACGCTGTTGCTTGTCTCCCCCCGAGGCATGGGTGGTGCCATGGACTCCATGTGGCTCTGCCTTTGCGGCGCTCTGGTGATGTTCATGCACGCGGGCTTCGCGATGCTGGAGACCGGGTGCTGCCGCGCCAAGAACGCCTCCAATGTCTTGATGAAGAACCTGGTGAACGTTTGCGCCCAAGAAGAGCAGAAGAAAACTGAGAAGAAGAGCATAGAGAGTTAAGGAGTCTTAAGTTAAGGAGCTGTATCTGGTGCACAAAATATGCACAGTGTCACACCAAACAGATCTAGGTCCCCAGGTCGATACTGTGGATAACCTGATATGCTGAGGCTTTCCCATGCGGATCAATCGAAACAGCCCCAAAGAACATGGCTTCCGTGCTAGTCATGGTGGTTCTCAAATGGGTGTTTTCAGTCTGTGTGTGTGCTTGGCTGAATTGCTTTGTCACAAACAGCTCCTTCTTCAATACATATCTTCTCAGAAAACTTGTTATTGAAGGGGTCATTGCATTTCAGACTAACCGGCAGACTTGGACAGTATTCGTATTTGATTTGCAGGACATATCCCTTTCAGATGAGATGATCTTCAGAAGTTCCTTTCGTCTTCGTTTGGGATGTCGGCATGGTCCACCTGTCTGACATCACCCAAAACGGCTCCCAAAACGAAGACTCTGCTGAGAGAAAGACCTGTGCCGAGGTCTGTGTGGGCACTTTGGGCTGGTGGTTTTTGGGCTGGGGCTTCGCGTATGGTACCCAGGATGGGACCAAGCTGTTTGGCTCCACTGGCTGGGCAGGCGATGGCTTCTACACAAAAGATGCGACCACAGGACTGGGTTGGGACACCGCCATCGAGACAGGGCTTTTGAATATCTCTTCAATACACTTCTGTTTGGCCAATCCAGCTCTCTTGTCTATTGAGTGTTGCATGCATTGGACCAGCCCACACTACTAGCATGAATGATGTGCATTGTGGGCTCTTTGCCAATAAATTTGGAAGGGCAAGAGATTTCTGTCCCTTGCGAAGGAAATATCACACCTGTGGCAAGCTGTGATGCAGATGGTTGCCAATCAGTCAGCTTGGATTATTTTGGATGTGCATGTTATTTTTTGTCCCGCTGTAGACGTCGATATTTGCAAGCGAAGATCTCTCTGTAGATGACTTCACCAACCAAACATCTACCATCGTATTCTTCCGGAATTGTGTATAATTTCCTTTTAGGCGGACAAGTCCTCTGTGGGCATCGTGCATGTCTGATGCGTGAAACCTGCCATGTGTGCTTAAATCCTGTCACTTTCCCTCTCATGACTCATGATCCTACTTTCCTTTAAACTGCCTGCACTGAATTTGGACAACTGAAACAATTGAGTTGCAATTGGCATTGGATGACGGAATGTGCTTGGTTTGCTGTCAATTTCGAACCACTAAGGTGATGCTATCTTGGTTCTTTCAGTGGGCATTCTGCACCGCTGGGGCCACAATTGTCAGTGGTGCTGTTGCGGAGCGAGTGAAGGGGCCGACCTACGCAGCCTTTGCTCTCGTGATGACCAGCTTTATCTACCCAATGGTGGTGGCATGGACCTGGGGTAGCTTTGATGCGATAGCGGGCGACAGCTAGTATTCCCATGACATTTGCCGGTTAGTTTGCACGACAGCTGTTCTTGGCAACTTGTTGGACATTGAGCAAGTGAGAAAGATGTCGCTGTTGGTGGTAGTCCATTCTGATGACTATGTCTGAAAAGCTTTAACACAGCAACGATTGCACGTCACGGTATCGTGTATGGTATCGGGTCTTTTCAGAGCAGATGCTGCAATCCAAGGCTATGGTTGGCTTGAATCTCTCTGGGATGTGGGCTTCATGGATTCTCGGATCTTCCGTTGGCGTGCTTTTGGTGGGCCCTGCGGCCCCCATAGAACTGGTTCAGTCAGCATAAGGGTGTCCTTTCTCTGGCATTTTTGAGCCTGCTTGGTTGACGGCGAACGAGGTATCCCTGGAGCCCTAAAGATCCCAGGTTTGAATTTCCTCTTGGGTCTTACATGATCAGGCCATGGTCTTCGCCATCATGAAACCCGCAAGATCGCCAAAGCAAGTCTGGTGATTCCACTTCAGGACTTTGCTGGTAGTGGCGTTGTCCACTTGACCGGTGGCGTGGCCGGCCTGGCCGGGACCGTGGTCTTGGGCCCTCGGAAGGGCCGCTTCGTGAATCCCGAGGAGCGGCAAAGGGTGACCAGCCCGGTGATCAGAATGCAAAGGGAAGGGATTCTTGGTGAACATATGTGAAAATAAGTGATGGTGTTGAGAGTGTTGAGGCTTTTCTTTTCTTGAGACTTTGTTGGAGACCTGGAAGCTTGCGATGTCGAAAGTCGTGCGCAGTGTTTTTTCCAGACCTGATGAAGGAGTTTGAGTGCCACAACCTCCCTTTGGTGGTGCTGCTTTGATGGCAGAGAGGTGGCGGCTAGTGATAGGGTTGTGGAAGAGACACACACCTTAGCAGATTGATGCTCCAATCCACTAGGAACTTTTTGATTCGATATTGATAAGTTGGTCTATTTCGAGAGCTCAGTGTGCCAGCTTTAAGAGGTCTTGGTCTGCGGGACGGCCATTAACGCCTCGTACCCAATATGTAGCCTCAGGTGTTGAGAGATTACTCCGCCCATCAATCTTTAAACTTGCGATGTGTTGCTTCGCGCTGCCGAATTCGCCTCTAAGGCTTGGCACCTTTGCCCTCTGGTTTGGTTGGTATGGCTTCAACCCAGGCTCCACGTTGACAATGAAGAGCGCAAGTGATGGTGCTTTGGCAGCGCAAGTGGCCATGAACACCACCTTGGCAGCTGCCACTGGAGGAATCACCGTCTTTGCCTTGCGGTATCTCATCACCAAGAAGTATGATGTGGGTGGCCTTTGCAACTGGGCTATCTTAGTCAGTCAGTCTAGCCTAGCTTGTATGATTTCGTAAGGTCAACAATCAATATGAATACAGTATTCATAACGTGCTGCAACACCCCCAAGCCCAATCTTTTGTTTTTGCAAGCAGTCATAGGAATTTTGCAGGTAACGTTGCTGCCATTGAAGTCTATTCATCATCAAGAGCTCAAAATGAGGCAACGGCATTCTGGCCGGCCTGGTGTCTATCACCGCTGGCTGCGGCAACATGGAATGTGGCAGTGCTTTTGCCACAGGCTTCGTTGGTGCATTGGTCTACCAGGCAGCTTCGATGCTTCTCGCAAAGTTGAAGATCGATTCTTGGATGAATTTGTAAGAGTCAAAGGATATTTTTCAGTGTTTTGTGGGAGAGTGGTTGAGAGTGGACAGTCTTCAAATAAGGAAGAAACAGAGAAACAGTAATATCTATCATTGGATTTCGATCTTAATTATTCCAAAACGTAAGGCTCGGTGACTTGGCCAGTGACCCACCAGCTTTTGTGCAGTCTAATATACGCATCGCTTGTTGTTTTGACATAGTGTCCACGCGCAAGCTCTTCAAAATTCCCGACACAGGGTTGGTGGCAATTCTTGAAAGGACATGACACTGGGATGGGAGGGAAAACCTCTTCAATCAGCATTGGATTCACCCAAAAGCTCTCCAATTAGAAGCAAGGACGCTACTTGGGGCTCCTGGCCTTACTACTAGGAACAAGGACGCTACTAGGGGCTCCTGGCATCGCTACTAGGAGCAAGGACGCTACTAGAAGCCCTGACAGCGTGTGGCCTTCAGGATGATCCTGTGGATGCCAGCCCCGTGCACGGCTTCTGCGGAGTTTGGGGATGCCTGGCCACAGCCCTTTTCGACTGGGGTAAGCCTGCTATTGCTTGAGCAAGTGTTTCTTTTGTTCGACCTTTCGAACACTCGGAACGTATGAGTGCATTCAAGTCGATTCTTTGTGGGAAAGATCGCCTGGGAACCGATCCTTTTCGTAGCTCCCGATCGGATCGCGCCGATGGCGTCACGTGCTCGTGGCCTCACATCCTGGCACCATGTCTTTCCCATCTCAGAGTTGTGATGAAGTCGTTGGGAACACGACGGGTCGGCACCGGCAAGAACCAAAACGTGATCGGTGGCACGGCCGACCGGCCGACCGGCGGACCTGGCTGAGGCAAGGGCTTTGATCACTACCATGCATGGGGTGGATGGGGTTGCATGCAAGATGCTAATATGGCATGCAGGACTGGCATCAATGGCACAGGCCGGGTGCGCGAATTGCGAAGCTGTGACGTTGTGAAATAGCCCGGCACTTCTATGGGATGCCTGATGCCAGTGGATTCAACGGGTCCAGCATGTTTGTTGTGACCATCCTTTTTGTGGGCAGTTGAGATCCATGAGATTCCGCTGCAGAATCTCGCGACATAGGGGGTAGATCACCCCTTTAAAGACCTTCGACCTGCCACAAAGTTCTTTTGAGAAGGATCCTTCGGCACTCTTGTACGTCGTCAAATCGTCGACACAGGCAATTTGTAAATACTACTGTAGGAGTAGGAGGAGAAGTGTTGTTCTTCTTTTGAACTGCTTTGTGTGAGCCTGATGCAGGATTGGGTGTCAATGTCATCATGGTCTTGGTGATCATTGCAACTCGTCCAAACTGCCCAGCCATGGGTTGATGTTCTGGTTCACTGGCTAGCGGAGTTTTCTTGCGACCTGAAGGTGCTTATGATGACACGCAGTTTGGTTTGTTTGGCCACCCTCTTCCTTTCTTCAGACCGGCAATGACTGCCAAGAGGAAGAATGGCTGAGAGGAAAATTAGATATGATGGGATGGGCTGTGGCTCAAGGTCGATATGCTTAGGTAACATACAGCAAGGTTACAAGGTAGATCTATCGGTGAAATTGCAGTCGCCTGGCAAGCGGAGTTGACATAAGGGACATTGATGTCCATTGAATGATCAGGAATGATCCAACACAAAGCAACACAACAGAAGGGTGCAACTGTAACTGTTCTCCTCGCAGAATAGACAGGTATATATATATAGTTATATAATGATATATAATCAGAACATATGAACACTCTAGAGAACAATATGATATATTTAGGGAAGGTAGCGAGGTAGCAGGCTTGGCTGCGACACACGCGCACACACACACACACACACCAGTCGTACCGACTGGATGAGCCGTACTTGTCACGCAGGCCTGGTCCGGGAGCATCGCCGTGCTGACCTTCACTGTCTTGAAGTGGGGCGGAGCCCTTCGCATCGATGAAGAGACCGAAGACATGGGCTCCTTGGAGAGAAGAGGGGAAGGTGTTTAAAGGACTGAAGACATGTCGGCCAATGGCCGCGCATGCAGGTGTTTTCAGCGGTTTCGGAGGGCTAGTGACCGGGACAAAGGAAGGAACTGCGCTCTCCACTGCCTGACCAATATGACCAATATGATCATGGAGCTTCTTGATCGTTTGCGACGAAACTCCAGTAGTGGAATCACTGATCACACTTTGGTTTTACTCGGCGCATAAAATATTGTGGTACTACATGTCGCGTGCAGGGAAAGTAAGGTAGACTGGCAACATCAGGTGCAGATCCATGGGCGGATCGGCTTAGCAGAGTGTGTTCTTGTGCCTTTTGCAACTGTGAACAGCAGTCTGCATGATGCTTCTCAACCTGAATTGGCAAGACCGCGGCAAGACCACAATGTCATCATGCCATCAAGGTTTGACCCCCTTGCCAAGCGTTTGACACCAACATTCATGGAGCTTGCTTAGCTTGCTTTGCCAGGCATGGATGCGAAGTCTCACTCGCCTCCGAAAGCCTACACGATTGCCTGAAATGATGGGAAGCATCGGAAGCATCATCCTCAATGAGAACATGTCTGTGAGCGTTGGAGTGGAGCTTCCTGCTCGGGCGTGTAACACAACGGGCTTCCGACCCTGGCAGAGCCAACCTTGCAATTTTCCTTTGCAGATCCTTCATTAAAAGATTAAGGACAAACCTTGCAAATCATGTCTTGTTCTAGGAAAGAACCTTGGGACGATGATCCCGAGGGCCAAGGCAAGCACTGCTGAACTTGGTCAGAGCCGCCAGGGGCAAGGATGCCACACGAACCTTGCTGATCTTTTCCAGCGATGGCCATCAAAGAACTGGCTAGAGCACGACACTATCCTGCTTGATTACTGTAGCTCCTGCCCCCATGGACATGTTGATAGAAAAGACCTGAAACGAACGTGTGTCTTCTCTCGATCAGCAGCAGGACTGTGTCTTTTGTCACAGCACTCAGTCACTGGTCCTAATAAATACTGGGCACACTTTGCATTGTCCGACGAACAAAAAGGTCTTGCTGATGATCCATGGAGTCATTGGGGGGAATACATCTCGCCACCAGATTGATTCAAGTGAGTTTCACGGTCCTTCCAAACAAACGGATTCAGACCGATTTAAAAGATGTTCTTCAGGAGATTAAGGATGAACTACAGCGGAACTTTTGGACAGTGCAGCGTGGCAACTTCGCTGTGCGTCTTGTCTTCACTTTATTTCACTTCTACGTTTATCTCTGATCTAACCCGCGGCACCATGACGAAACAAGCTGAAGCTTCTGGACTTCAGACCAAATCAATCCGAACACTTTCCAAATGTCCCACCCAGGCTAAGCTCTCAGAGTCATAGATACGGTCAGAGTCATATGAGTCATACACTTTAAAGAGTGTGCAAGAGCTTAGAGGAGCACCAGGTCGCTCAACACACCTGCCATGGCCTTTGGCTGTGTGATGATGAGGTGGGCACCAGCCAATCTGATCTCCTACAAGTTCATTCCACCACGCCTCAGCCACCCGACTGTAAATCGGGGACCCTGGTCAACCTCGCTGTGGGAGAAAATTGCTTGCTGTCTAGGAGGCCCAGCCAAAGCACCAAGATGCCAGAACGGCCAATGAAGGCTGCTGAAGGCAGTGGACATGAACTGATTGGTGGTTCAAGGAGTCGCTATTTCCAAAACAACACATCGACTCGTTTTTGGGCTCTGAGGAGTGCTATTTGCCAACACTGTGGCAGTCTTTTGGATGTTGCTCGGCAAGTGAAACAGTCTGATTAACTTCCAGCATGCATATCGACACTACGGATACCTTGAGTCAAGAATGTGAGACGCAGCCGAAACCGTTTTTTATCCTGCGTAGGACAAACAAGATAAAGGAACATCAGCTCAAGCAACAATGGCCTTTCAAGAAATGTATGACCATAAAAGACCGGCACTGTATGCGATTTGCGAGATGGATTGCAGACGGGCAGACCGCCGTTTTGTGGTGAATTCAACCTTCTCATTCGCAAGGCTTTTCCTGATCTGGAAGACTTCAAAACGCAGGAGTGCAGACTGTCGGGCGTTTCAAAGAGCATGCATGACATTCGCAACTCTCTCAATGAATTCCTTTGAACTTGAACTTTGAACCTTCAAGAACATCCATTTGCATTGTTGGGTTTTGGCATATCATTTTTAAAGTAGAGATACTGGTCCGTATTATTTGATAATCCGTCGCATAGAGTAAGGCTGCTCATCAGACTGGAAGCGCGGAGTGGCTCAGATATGTTGATAGAAGATTGATATCCTGCACCAGATGGAAGGTGATACACCATCTTGTGGACAGCAACAAAAACGAACTCAGCCTTAAGCAAATGGGTGCTGGCTTTCTTCGTGCACCTGGATTGTAGGAAGTCAATCAAGTGTTAGAAACGCCGGTCCTTGAGTCCTTGCGAGGTGGAACGCATGTGCCGCATGTGCCGCATGTTGCCAGGCCAGATCCGGCACACTCGGCGAGATCCGCCCAGCGCGCGGTCCACAGACCAAGGCACTTGGATGAGGACCATCGCTTTGATCCGCTGAAGGATGACCCGCGTGAGCGACCTGGAGCCCAGTTGGGCAGAGCCCAGAAAGCGGCCATCGGGGCTGATCTTGGCGGAAGCTCTGGAAGCTCTGGAAGCTCCTTGGCAGGCCGCAATACTGCCTCCTTTGATCCTCGTTCTACATTGGTGCGACCTGCCATGAGAGTGATCTACGGTCGGAATGGTCGAGAATTTGGTGTCACCACAAGGCCAGATGACATCGTTGTCGTGCCAGAGTTCATGGGTGATTTGGATGACAGTCTGGCAAGTTGCTTGATTGCTGAGTTGAAGACGTCCGACGCAGAAGATCCCAAGTCTATTCCATCCATCAGAACTTTGACTGCACGCATGTGTGAGTACTTTCAAGTAGATCAACGGACCGTCCAGGTCCGAGTAAGATGGCATGAAACTGGCACCAGCCCAGCCTCGCAGTTGCAATCCGCCAGCTTTGGGCCTTCAAACTCCCGGAAGGCATGTTTGCTCCACCTTTCTTTGGGCGGGACTGCTGAACATGCTTTCAAGCGTGTTGGGACTGGTGAAGTGGTCTACTTCCCTCAAGGCAACAACACCCTGATGTTGCTCGGGTGTGACATTGTCAAGAAGTGGTCTTCTGGCGAGTCGAAGGCTCCCGAAGACTTGAACGTCTTGGTGTCTCTGTGGGGCAGCAGCAAGAAAGCCTTGGAAGATCGCTTGCCAGAAAAGGCTAAGGACGGGCTCCCTCGATTTCGAGCGCTTCGCATAAAAAGGATTGGTTTACAAGTTTACGGCGTATTACAGGTCTATTTTGGCTAATTCACTTCGAGGGATATCTCTCACTTTGCCAGGAAGTGTGCCGAGATTTCCATTTGGGGCGATGCACCTACGGTGACAAGTGCAAGTTCCCCCATGAGAAGCCGAGCAGTCATGAAGAGCTGGTGGCCTGGCCAGCGAGGCCATCCATGCGTGTGATTACTGCGTCTTGGCTCAATCTAGATCCCTTTTTGTTGTGAATCCATTGCATGGACAAAATTATCCAAACCACGAGTTGGGACTAGAGTTTGACTAGAGGTGCATGCATCGCAGCGCTATACTGCTCCTGTTAAGCATGATGACGTCATCATCGTGCCAGAGTTCTTCTGTGGAGAAGATGATTGGAACATATACTACACCCTCATCAAGGTACAGGGACCTTAGTACTGTAGGGCCTATGGCCAGGGTTTGCTGCTTTCTCTTGAGGCTTTTGCACACACCCGGCCAGGAGATGCGGCAGAGTCAAGCGAACGGGGACTGGAAGGCCTGGGACAAAGGAAGCAATCAAGCCTCCAAGCACAGCGCTCTGTTCAACTGTTATGTCCTGGGAAGACACGATCAGGAAAATGTGACCCTCTTGATGGAGCAACAGCAAACTTGTGGTTACGATCATGTTCCAATGGGGCTGGTGCCATTCATCCATCAAACGCAGACGAGCAAGCCATCCCACTTAGGTTCAAGGTTAATTCTTCAGCGACTTCCTCCATTCTACGGCAAGCTTTGAAGAAATGGAAGAGTCCCCAAAAAGCTTAAGAATACATATTTGAATACTTAAATGACGTCTATAAACGAAGCTTAAGCTGAGTGACCCAGTCTGTTGTCTTTTGCTCTTTTGCCAGATCTCCACTTGTGCCAGGCAGAGTGGGTCTCTTGGCATGAGGGTGCGCATTTGTTGAGTCAGAATCCAAGCGCCTCGGACACTTACAATGAGGCGACCAGGCTGCACAGCGGGCATCGAACTTGGGTCCACCAAACTTCCTCCACGGACCTATGAATGGGAAATCGCTTAGGTTGGAGGCCATCGCTTCTAGGTTGGGGGCCATCTCTATCTATTTTAGGTAGGGGGCAGAGCGGCCTATGAACGGGAAAATCGCTTTAAAGATCTTTAAACGGTTCATAACATTTCGATGCTCTATGGGTCTCATAACATTCTCCGACTTGCACGGAGAATTGCTTGTCGGATTGGTCAAAGTTTTGCTCCCTTCTCCAGGTTCAATTGATCAGTCGTACCCTACGTAGCGAGTTGACTGCTGCCTGCAAACCTGCCAGGTGATTGACAGCTTGTGCTGCTTGGCAGTCTCTTGTATTAGTTTTCTTCTACCCTTTGGCTTCATAGGTCTCCTAAGTATTTCCAAATCAGCTTTTGTTTGCTCTATCGGGTATTTGACCAGAAAGGTCAGTACTTCAGCGCCACTGACCCCAATCGGGGGACTCGCTTCAACTGGTATAGAGATGGATCCGATTGGAAGCCTTTCCACCATGACTCTGCCACCTGGCGAACGATCTCGAACACGAAGCGAACACGAAGTGCAAACGACAAACGTCTCGAGGACCGATGCTCATGTCGACTTGGAGAGAGCCGAGCCGAACGGGAGACATCATGTTCATGAAGTTTCCCTCAACATCCACGAACCAAAGGAAGAAACGTGAGCTATCCTGAGTAAAAAATGTAGTTGCGTTCTTGTAGGTACTTGCTTCTCGCTTAATTAAGTAAGCGCGGGGAGCGGGCTAGAAAAAGGAACACCTCTTTTTCTTTTTTCGATGCGGAGGTCACTGGTGTCCTTCCTTGGGTTGGGATGTGAGTGATTGGGAGCTTCCCGGTCCGAAAACACGAATGGAACAATGGAGCCAAAGCCAAGTTGTATTGTTGATATTGACATTCAAGATGCCTTGGTCACCCGAAAAGAATCCTCCACTGCTCCTGACAGGCTGCCTTTAACGAGCAGAGGGCTGCCAATCAAAATTGCACCATCGGCATCTCCTTTGGCTCAACTCGAGAGTTGGCCTTTCGACATGCCAAAACAGGAGAGCTGATCTATGTCCCTCAAAAGAATGGCATGTTGTTCTACTTCGGCAGGGATGTGCCACTTGACTGCTACCAAAGACTGTGCTACCACTAGAGAAGTTTGGGATTCAGCTGTTTTAATGCTTTGGTCAAAAGTGCCGCGTTTGAGCTGGTGACGCAGTTTCCGCTGAGGAACATCATTTGGCAGCATGGGATCAACGCGTTGCCAGAGCAAGAGCAAGATGGGAAAGGTCGAATCTCAATTATCCTTTGGAGTTTGTGCGAACTCTGCATTGAAGAGAGCGATTCTCCACCCATGCTCACTGATGAGTCCCGTGGTAGTTATAGTATGCACAACAAAGGCAAGGGCAAGGGAAAAGGCAAGCGTTTCTGCAGCAACGGTGATGGACTTTGCCGGGACTTCCAGCGGGGCTTTTGCAGCTATGGTGAGAAGTGCCGCTTCCTACATCGATAACGGGGAGACTGGGATTGCAAGCCTTCGGGGTTGTGGTGGCTTTGCATGAACCCATTCGTTACCTAGTCTGTCCACCGAGCCAGAAAAGATGAAATCATGCGTGTCGTACTAGTCAGCTGAAAAGGACTTTGACACTTTGCCTTGAGATGGTGCAGATTCAGACTTTAGAACCCTATATAACTATGTAAGCTCTCCTAGCTGTTCATACAACTCTCGAAGTAGTGTCAGAGGCAATATTGTGGCAGATAGAGCAAATCGTTGAAGCCGGGTTTTGTTCAGGGCTCGGATGATGTTTGGTCGAGCTGTGAACAATCACCTTTGAATTCTCTCTTTGCGTGTTACCCCTCCACAGCATTCAGCTCCTCACCATGATCCCTCCAAGAGAATACCTTCACCTTTCCACGTTTTAGTGCGCTTGCCGGAATTGCCTTTTCGCTGACGCCAATAGAGAACAACATCGGAAAGTGTTTCGGTGTCCACTGCAGGACCTCCTGACAGTGCATCTACTGCTGGAGGCACTTCCTGGGAGAGCAGATTTCACGGTAGTCTGCTGGAATTCAGCTGGAATCAGGGCGGTCAGGAACAGTTCCTGGCCAAGCCTTTTGGGGCTAGATGGATATAGTTTGACCTTCGGGCCTTCGGATCGCAGGTCCATTTTTCAGCAAAACTAGCAAGAGATGTGACACTACCATCTTTGGATAGTTTCATCCACTTAAATTGAAGAAGCATTGCATGCTTCTACGGCCAGGTTTGGGGACAGCACTGGACGCGGCGGTTGCTGTTGCAGCTGCTGTGGACGATGCGAATGGTTTGGGCCGCGTTGAAAAGAGCTGAGAGCAATCGCATTTTTGGACGGAGCGTTTTTCACCTTGGAGGTCCTTAGTGCGGTACTTTTAGTTTGACATATTGGTTGGAGGCTAGGAACTCAACGTCTTGGTCACCATCAAATTTGGCTTGTTGTGCTATGGGGGCGCACGAATTGGCTGGCTTGCAATTCTCCACTCCTGACCGTGCCTGGTAGAATCAGTAGACGAGCATCCAAGATGCATCAGTGGATTAAGATGACATCGGGCGGCAGAACATGTGCACATGAACGCAAAGCCTGACATCAGCATGTCAACTATCGCTCAAGATATATGGGCGCACATGATTGTCATCATGATCAGTGATTGCTTGCTTGGTCTCCCTTGTGCCTGAGGTGCTGAAAGTCGAGCCCGCGAATCGAGAAGCCAAACAACGTGGGGGGCCCAGGTTGATTTCATCCGAGCTGCCGATAGCACCTAGGCATGTAGGATCGCACAGGCCATTGTACCCATGTCTGGGCGCCCCATTGCACTCCTGAAAAGCTAGGCACCAGGGTCTATGACTTGGTCACTTGTGGGAAGCATTTGGGCCAGCTTCACAAGCTGACTTTCTCCTAGCTGTCTTATAATGTCCCATGCCCTTTCTTTGATCACAGAAGTGAATTTCCTGATCCAACTCTTTGGTGAAGAATGATTTTGCTAGCTTGCAGGACATGGCGTTGCATTTTCTTCCAGTCCAGTAACAACACTCCAAACGTTTTGGGGTCGGCCAACGACATCTGTGGATCGACCACTGAGGTAGCGAGGTCCTCAAGAAGTTGACACAGGATGACACAACAGGCGGCACCACCGGTCGGGCGCCGACTGGCTCTTGGAACAGAAAAAAACAACTCTTGTTACTACTAGCTTCTTGTTACTACTAGTAAGGCACCTGTTACTACTAGCGTGGCACTTGTTACTACTAAAGAGGGATGCCTTCTAACAAGCCTGTTTGCATTACTTTCTGCATGTTACTCACAAGGCTGAATTGGTCTCTGCCCCATCCGGATTCTGGCTCACTGTCCTTCGTGGGGCTGTATTCGGGACCCAACCGAATTCTAAGACCCTTTGGCCGGGGGTTGGAACCGTAAGATCCTTCTGCTTGAGTCCAGGAGCCATGCCAGCAGACGCCGAGCCAGAGGTAGCAGGACCTTGCACTCTGCACAGGCTGCCACGTTTGGCCCGTTTTTGGGGTTCTCCATTTGTTAGGTCATAGGAACTCCGTGGTGGTTTGGGAACAATCCCAAGCATTGCTAAGCTTCATAGCTTTCAATTGTTTCCAAGTCCTCTTCGAAGCATGCAGGAGACACCACCGACCCCGTGCTCGTGGCTGGACCTTCTCCTTCAGCACCTTCCATGCCGCAGAAGGAGCAGGAGGACGATGACGAGGATGACGAAGGAGGTCAGCAATGCATCCCTGAACCCGATTTTACTTGTGGTTGAGTTTATTGTTCAAGTATTCAGCGCAAGGGGCGATGTGATAAGGGTCCCTCTTGTGTGAGTTCCAGATCTTCAGGCTTCAGGCATTCTGTGCCATTTTATCACATTTTTTTGGGTCTTCTTAATACTGTATCCATTTCGTGCCAGTCTGCACAGGTGTTGATCATGCATCTACATCGGCTTTGATCTCCTCAGCCGCGGAGTACATGCATAGGGCACGCCTGTGGGTTTCCTGCAAGCTGGCTTGGTGACCCCTTGAAAGTTGTGATGTACCACCTTTCAGACCATTCACGGTGGTTGGGGTTTTCGGGTCAAGGAGCATCGTTTTGGTGTTTTCTGTGTTCCCGGTGTCGACCTTGAGATGTTTTTACCTTTATATATATTTTATATATATATATATATAATATCAAGATGTCTTGCTACAGAAGTGTGAAGGCAAGGCACACTTGCATCATTGTTGAAGCCAGCGACCACTTGCAGGCGGACTATGCATCTGCCCTGCAGATCTACAGCTATGCAAGACACTCAGATCTGGGTCAAAAATCCAGCGCCGTGCTCCAGCGAAGTGAAGGACGCCTAAATGAGCGTGCTGTGGATGGGTGAAAGGATGTCCTTTGAGCACGCTGTGGCCTGGCGCTGCATGCATTTTGTCTTTATGCGACTTCGGGTGTGTCCTGGAGTCCGAGCAAATCTCAAACCACAATTTTCGAAACAACACTGCCGTCCTAAGTCCTTGTTCAGGGAGACTACGTAGATTGCACTTGTTGCCGAGTGCCAGAAGGGACAAGGATTTCAACACGTCCCAGACCAGCACACGCCAGCCGTCCGCGAGAAGACCGCGGAGCAGACCGCGCGATTCTCCGCAGACCGCCGTGTGTCTTGTGGATCTGAAGTGCTTGTCACCTGTGGCGGAATCATCGGAAGCAAACCTGACGGGTCGTAAGCTCTGCCAATTGGGCCGACAGTTGTGAAGCCGATGAGTGCCGCGAATCAACGTGGAAGATCAAGGAATGGTTGAGTGCCGCGAAGGCATCTCACGCATACGGATGCAACATCAATATATTTTTGCAAGAAGGCAAGGAAAGCTGCCAAGGAAGATGTATTGAGTGGTTCGTGATAAGAGGTGGATGATCACTTCGTAAAAGAGTTGGTTCTGGAAATAGCTCATTTCCCTTTGCCTACTAGACCAAACAAGAGCTACGACTTGTCAATTAGACGCCCATTGGCAGGCCGTTTTCCCAGGGTGTAAAGGAGCAGCGGTCTTGTGCCACTGAACAGCCCGCAAAAGATTGGATATGAAGAAGAACATGCTTTGCTTTGCTTTGCCTTGCCATGGACTTGTTCACTGGTTGGAGTTGTCAAGAGCAGTGATGCCCTGAGTGAACTGAATTTGCCTCAAAGGCATTTGGCCATCATTTTCGCTGCTCTCCCGGATTCTTTGTAGGGTTTGATTCAACGACCTTCAGAACAGCCTAGCAACGTTATAGGGGCAAGAGATCGGAGACCCGCGGAAAAGAATCTTTGGTGAGCGAATTGCAAAACCCTTCCACACTCAGGCCAGGAAGACCTGCAAGATTTGGGAAACTCCGATGCTTGAGCTCAAGGTGCAGCCCAGTTCGGGTGTTTTTCTTTGGATCGCGTTGGCGAGGTTCCCTAGCCCTAACACAGAGCAAGTCTAGAAGCATAAGAACATAGTATCACCCTGTTTCCAAAAGCACAGATCGACTGAGGTCCAGCATCAAAAGCTCCAAAACCAGAACCTCTCTCTCTCTCTCTGACTGAGCCTGTGAACCCGCGCTAGCGCAGGTTCTAAGCAACAGCTCCTTGTGTTTGCAACGACTACGTGGTCGGTTGCCAGAGCTCGTGCAGGCGCGCTGACTGGGATTGGGAACTTCCTGAAATTCAGAAGCGGGACATTCCCCATTTTGATTGCATAGTTCCGGGTTGGACATTTGTTTCCTGGATTTCCTGGATGATTCGATGGCTAGCTGCTAGAGTTTATTAGTGTTCATTTAGAACTTGGACGTGACAGGAGATCTTTGAATGCGTTTTGAAGATACTAGGGCCGCCTAGATTGTGTTTTTCCACGACATTTCTTAGCTTCTCCTTATGTGCGGAGCTCACCAGAGGATTTCATTTTGGAGATACTCTCAGCATGGGAGTATGTTGCCCCGGATGCAATGCTTCAAGATTCTCAAGCACTTTGTCCTTTTTTGAGGCCTGCAATGACACTCTGCGTCGTATCAGAGAGATTCGAGCTGATGGTTGCGAGGACGAGAATAGACAGGTTTCCAATTGTTGATGTTTGACATTTATGAGAGATGTTCTTGGGAGGATGATGAACATCTCAAACGAAAGCCTTCTCTTCTGTCAACGTTCGTGGGCTGCGTCACCTTTGCTCAGAACCTTCAAACTACTCCAACCACATTGAAGTTCCCTATTGTGTTGGTGTAGCGTGCTGCATCCAACACCGGATTAACGATCTTCAAAGGACTCTGTATTAAAAACATATTATTGTTGGAACAGGCTCCCATTGGGTGGAACAGCAATCGCTTGTTAGAGAACGGTAACATATGGGAACAATTACAGTATATAAAATCGATGCAAGCAGCATGATAGTCGCTGCAGGAGGAGCTCCTTTTGTTGCGAATGGAGGCTGCCAGCCTCTCTCGGCGTGGTAGTGCCACGAACGCAATGCTGTGGAACGGGAGGGTTTGGAAGACAAAGATATCAATTTGATGTCAACGTGCAATGTGCAGAGAGTTGTTCGGCACATTCACAGTTTTCCTTGGCATGCAGCTTCTGGAAACTCGCTTTTCGCCGTCTGAGGTGCATATGCACAGCAGCGAAAGACGGAGGAAAGCGCCGAGGCAGGATGCGATCTAAGAAGTTGAGCTGCCCCATGTGGAGGCCATCACTATTAGGTTGGAGGCCATTGCTCTTGAGAAAAGGAAAAGGAAGAAAGGACTCCAGAAGGAATGCTTCCTTCGTTCTTTGCTTCCATCACTTGTGCTGCCCCATCACCCAGGATGCTGCGCGTGTGAAAGAGCTCCTGGCTGAGATAGCTGAGCTGGAAGCCAAGGTGGAAGCCAAGGTGGAAGCCCAAGTGCCTTCAGTAGCACCTGTCGTGTTGTTTTCCGAAGAGCTCCACGTCAAGTAGCACAGCTTGATGGATTTTGTGGGGGCTGGTGTTACATTTGCTGCTTGAGGATCGGTTTCAAAAAAAGATAGCAAAAACCCCATGAAGGACTACTTTTATCACTTTATAGTGGAGTTGGACTGTCAGTTCTATGCTAGTTTTGGGAGGGTGCTTGGATGCTGAGCAGAATCCTAGGGTGGAAGCAAGGCATCCCAAAGTCTGCAGTCCACATCCACTGAGGCCTAACTGCTGAGACCCGATGGGCGAACGGCCCAGATCCTGCAAGGTCCGGTGGAACTCACGCCACAGAGAGACTCAACTCTTTCATCGAATCAACAGCCTCCGTTTTCATCAACTCCGTGTTTGTCCGAAATCCTGAACTCTCTCAGATGTGTAGGTCGCCTGCGTGCAGGCGTGCAGACGTGTAGGACCCTTCTGTGCGTGCTAAGCTGATACGGTCCGACGGATCGGGGGCGAACGAGGCCTGCAGGGATCCATCCCAAAACGGGGTGGTCCCAATCTTCCAGTCTCAGCGACATCGTCCAGCGACGACCGTCGGAGTGTGGGTAAGTGAAATTGGAATTCACCATCTTAAAACACCAAGGTCACTAAAGATCCAGAAACCAGTCGAACCATGTCTCTCTGTTGGCTTCATAACGGCATAGGATTGGATTCTTTCAAAAAAGGTCAAAACTAACGAAGCTATTTTCATCTGAATAAAAAGGGGTAGGCACAACTTTACAAGATTTGGCTTGAGAATGCAAAAAAGTCCAATTTGTTAACAATTTTTCTTTTGTACAATAGTGAATAATACAAGGTACAATAAAACAACATACAAATAACATAACATACAGATATTATCCAATAAACAAATAACACAATTTTGTGGATGATATCTATCTTTATGATCAAACGAAGAGAACGTATTTTAAATACAACTGATACAAAAACACATACACTATTTTTTAAAAATTATGATTCTACATGTTAATATAAACGCAACATGCTTGTAACATTGGGACTCTCACAGACAAATCAGAATCCTGCAGCTCGCATTTGATTGAGATGTTTCTGCTCAGTTGACGAGCCAGCTTTTCCCACTTGCTTGGAATTCAGACGCCGATCCGCAGACAAAAAGGCTGACTCGATGCAGGCACAAATGCAGGCATTCGATGCTAGGCATAAGATCTTTTACATGCAGTAAGTAGTAAGTAGTATCTACAAGATGTTAGAATGCCAGTATCTAAGACAATGTGCAGGAATAGGCCTCAGCTCCTGAATTCAAAGTTTTCCACAAAGTACTTGAACAAGATTCCATGAATCAATCTTCAGCACACGGCAGTTGCGAATCTCCATCCTGGTGAAGCACTAAGTTGGTTCCTAAGACCGCCTGGATGCCTGTGGCGGCAGGCCTTGAGGGTGCGACTGGCTGCAGCAGAGGTGCCCTGCAGTCCTTAGGTTTTGAAGTGATGGAAGCAAAGAACGAAGGAAGCATTCCTTTCAGAGTCCTTTCTTCCTTTTCCTTTTCCTAAGACCTCCAACCTAATAGCGATGGCCTCCAGCCAGCGATCCTATGTCTAGGCCTTTGCTCATTCATTCTGAATCCATTTGCAGAGTTCTGATCTAATGACTAATGACTCTTGCTAGTTCACTGCTACCTGTCAAGGCGCGCTTGGCGGCTACGCAGCATCAAGAGCAGCCGCTTGGGCAGCAACTCCTAAGCGATAGGCACCCCTTCATCACTCACAACTGGCGGCTTGGCATCTGATCTACAGGCCAAATGGTGCAGTTGGAGCTACTTGAGCTACTTGTTTCCACCAAGACTACGAAACCTACCGTTCAGGTGGTTGGGATTTGCAGAGGGTGACAGCTGGGCAGTAGGTCCAATATTACGTAAGGATCCCCCTAGCCATTTAGCATCGATCATGACTTTGATCTCTCCCATAGATCTACAACCAGCCCAAAAAAGGCCACAGCTCACAAGACTACTGTCACACAGTTCTTGGGACTACCACACAGACACCAGAGCCGCACGTCTCAAGCGCCCCGGCAGCCGAAGGACGTCCGAACAGCCGTCCGAAACGCCGTCCGAGGCTCCGAGAGATGGCGCCGTCCGAGGAGCGAGAGGCGGGTGGTTCGACGCGTTCGACGACGCTCGACTCGTTGAGACGAGGAGAACGACTCGCGGTCCGATCCGAACATCAGAGCTGGTGAGGCATCTGCCAAACCTTCAGGGCTGGTGAGGTGATTTTGGCATCCATCCGGCATTCTCCTCGCCGGTCTTGGGACTGTAAGTGTAGCCTGGTGGAGCGTCAACCCGCCAATCTTTGTTGCTTGAAGTCGTGCATATGCCTTGTTTGGTTTTTCACTCTTGTGTTTTGTGAACTGGCCACGTGCCCACTTGGGAGAACTCACAGTGAATGGACATTCAGACTTCAGGACTTCAGCTGTCAACTTGTTTGGATACTCACCTAGACATAGACCTATAAAGGGCTTATATAGGTTGGCTCAGTCAATGTTTATAGCTGGTGAGGGAGAGAAGCGATCTATCCGTTGGCTCCCAGACCGATGCAGCGGTTCAATCAAGTCACCGATGCCCTGCGGTTCGTCAGGCCCAGGAGACGGTGAACATGTCAGGTCCCTCAGACGATGCACCGTGAGTGGTTCCAGGAAAGCAGACCGAAGTGCCTTACCTGCATCACCCCCAGTGCCGAAAGAACGATCTGAGATGTGCAGTTTGCGAGATCCTTTTTCAAGGATGCCAATATGGCCAGTATCATTGGATATCCTTGGTTTTTGATCAAACAATTTCATCAGTTGAATCGTGGTGATAAATACACCTCCAAAGTCGGCCTGGTGGGGCTCGTGCCAAATGGGTGGAAACTGCACCTTTTTGGTGGGCGTCAGCGGTTCTTATATTCGTTTGACCTTTTGCTGCCAAACCTTCAAACATTTATGTTTTGATCTCTTTTCCTAGCTTTCAAATTACCCTCCTGCCTGTGCACCGCGATTTTGTACAAACCCTGCAGAGTGAAGCATGGTGAAACATGTTTAGGAGATGTGTGTCCATCCGTACAGACACTTCTGCAGGTCGCCCCGGGCAACAGTGGAGGCTGGTTGGTGACAGATGCCCAACGAAGACACCACTTTTGAAAGCCCCAGCGCATTCGTGCCAGGCACCAATGACTCCCAGGGTGAGGGAGCAGGACGTGAGACTACCGCTGTGGCTGATGGTCCAACTTGTTGATTCTGAAGCTCCTTAGGAAAAGGGAAGAATTCATCTTGTTTCAAAGGAGGTTCCAAGAGTCCAACGAAGGCAGCCCTACACAGTACCAGGTGGGTTTCCTCAATCCTCAGCCATGGGCGTGCTTGAGGAATACAGGCTCCTTCAGATCCTTCTGACTGCATTTGAAGATCACTTTGGGATCGGTTAGCTTTGATCGTTGACTTGGGATTTCTCCCAGTTTGAGACATTTTTCAATTGTCAAGCAATTGTTGACAGGTGCTGCCAGTGCAACACACATTTCAAATGGACACTCACATTATTCAGATTCTTTGTTCCCACATCCCAAAGAGTCATGCTCAAAATCTCGGCGCCCACAGGAGCGAACCTCACCGCACTCACCGGTTCGGAACTTCTCGCTCTCCGCAGAACTCTGGCGGTCGGGGAAGCTCGGGAGAGAGCGGATGTCATCGAGACGAGGATTTCACCACGGTACGACAGGGTTTGGCCGCCGCCCCAGAGCCCCAGGTATGTCTCATGTGGTGTGAGAAAGAACAAGAATTTCTTCGATCTTCCTGGGGTGTCGCAGAGACTTGCCGCAGCCGTTTCGCTTGAATCTCACGAAGATCGTCTAGAATGGAACACCATTTGGAGCGAGCAAGTGCTCCCATGCCCATTCTTGGGTGATAATGCAATCGATATCGTTTGTTTGGACGAAATGAGACTGGATCATTTGCTGTTGCACCAAAAGGCTCATTTCAGTCAGCTGGCGACAAAGTGTTTGGACTACTACTTGGAACTTGTCACATTGAAGAGTATGTACTCATTGCGATGGCCACCCCAAGCAGCTTGCACTGAGGCAGCTCCGAAAGAGTTACACAGAGACTCAAAAAACACGCAATTGGTTCCTTATAAAGATAGCATCCATGAAGAGTTCACAACTCCTAGCTCTGAAGCAAAATACTTTGCCAACGAGGTAGCCTCTTCGCAGAAACTCTCATGTCTTCGTCGTGCGAAGCGGGGATCTCCGTCTGTGCTGGGTACCGCAGGTACTCCGCCGCCTGCCAGGCTGGACATCATTTGTGCATGCCGGACTTTGGAGGATCTATATAGGAGCTAACATTCCATGAAAGTCTTGCTGTTGTACTCAGGTACCGCTATTGCAAGTATATCGCTATTATCGTAACATCACATGCCTCATCACATGTGTCGCTGCCATCCACATTCTGATCAGTGTTGTGAACCTACCCTTTCTGAGTGCTGCTTGTTGGACCTGACGACAGACTTACTTTGATCTGCAATTTGCATACCAGCAACGAATAGCTGATTGGGGTCACCCTGATTCGTATGTGGTCCAGGATGGTCCAGGAAGCAGAGGGCAAACTTACAAATTGGTGCACTTCATGGAATGTCAAAGGCATACCGGCATACCCTGATTACTCTGGGATTTCCGTGACGTTGCTGACAGGGCACAGGAAGTTTTTCGAGGCGCGGCCGACCTTGTTTGTGTGCCCCGCGTTGCATTCTTGCATAGGAGACTGTTCTCTTCTGGTCTTTTAGGGTGCAAATCGAACAGACACCCTGTTTTTTTCCATCTCTACCCACATTAACCCGCAATCCAAGCGTTCTTCCAAACGGTGTGGCGTTGTGCATTTCAAGAGGCCCTTGCGATACTCAATTAAATCTCAATTATGCTTCTTCCATCACCATGCTAAAGCAGGATCTTTTTGAGAAAACACCGCCCCAAACCAAAGAGCACCACACTCTTGTACAATGCACACAACGACACGAAACGAAGCTCCATTGACGACCAGCGAATGTCACGACCTTCACCCGCGAACGGATATGACGTGTCCAGAGGCTATGTCGACCCGCGCGCGATATCACGTCTCTGACTCAGCACAAGGGTTTGGACTTGGTGTGGGCATGCAAGAAACTCATTGACATGTGTATATATATATATATTTTTTTTTTTGTGCATGCCTTGCAGCCTGTTCTCTTTGCTATCACCTGCCCATAAAGACACACTTCACAGGAAACGCACATCTGTTTGACAAGTGTCACCAGTGCTTTATGTCCAAGAAGTGGCAGACAAAGAGCCGGAGAAGCCACTAATACAAGTCTCAGGAGTTGTTTCTTGATGAGCTCGTCTGAACATCCAAATAAACTTGAAGATCTTGACGGTCAGTGTGTAAAGGGTGAAAAGAATGCTAAGGCCCGATGGAAGAAGGGCCGAAAACCTGAGCCTTTGCGTGGCATCCCATGGACTCCAAGTCTTCCGAGGCCAGGCTGGGCACGGAAGGTGTTTGGTTGATATTCTCTCGCAAAAGCTCAGAGCGTCATGTTAAGGGAGCACGGCTTTGACCTTCAAACTTGATCTTATGAGTGACTACTGTACTGAATCAATGAACTTGATGCGACATGTGGAGATGTGAAATGGTGTGACATCACGTTCATTCATTGGTGTGACTTGTCGCACTTCCAACTTCCTGTCAGTTCTTATCTTTGTTACTACTAGCTTCTTGTTACTACTAGTGAGGCACTTGTTACTAGAAGCGATGCACTTGTTTCTAATAGCTTCTTGTTACTACTTTGTGTCAAGGGGCAGGTTGGGATGTCTCGGAGCAACCTTCACACTCCCAGTACACGTGGGCAGTTTGTTCCGAGTGACAGACGAGGCTTGCCGATCCCTGGGACAGACAGCGTGAATGGTGGGCTTGGGGGGCCTAGCAGGGCGAGCATGAGTCCAATCAGAGTGGGCAAGAATTCGGGAAAAGGCTTCCGGATCTACTGTAGAAATGCAAGGAAGGCTGCCTGAATCATGGACGTCTCAGCCATGGTTTTATATGGTTTTATATAATGGTACTCTGCAGCCGTCCAAAGCGCAGCACACGACATGAGGATCAGCACAGGAACTTCCACTGGTGGGAGGGCTGATATGGCTAATGATTTATGATACTTCAGCCCAGCGAATGATCAGCGCCTGTGCGCAGCCTGCCTAGTGCCCAGGTTGATCGACGTAGTTTGGCATTTCCTGAGAGGCCTCCAGGTTTACGGCAACTTGGACTGAATTGGAGCCTATCATGGTGCCTGGGTTAGGAAGTTGAATTGGGCCAGAGCACCCAGAGATCTGCCTCAATTTGAAGACTTGACACGTCATCGGCAAGTTGGTTTGATTCGTGGGTTGCTGGGGTGACTGGCAGTGACTGGGAGTGAGCTGTTAGGACACTCGTTTCTCTTTCTCAGACCCCCTGGAGATCACAGAAGCAATCGTGACATGTTGGGCCTTGACATGTTGGATAGCAGTGTAGCATGGTATAGCATGGCATTAAATCTGATTCCCCTCTCCGTACTGCGTTTCTTCAGGGGTGCTGCGAAGCCTCCTCCACCTGATGAGTACATCGACAAAAAGGACAAGAAGAGTTGACCTGGCTCACAAGTGCTGAGGAACTCCAAGCAACAACCAAGGAGTCCAGAGTGTCTTTAGTCCAAGCAGCATCTACATCCAAAACTTCTCAGAGAAGGCGCTGGTCATTGCCTTCCCATCAAGCTGCAGAGAAGGGTGCTGACCGGATGCATGAGCTGATCCGGCACTCCGAGACTGACCGCCAGCCAGAGTATTCCTTCCGTTCGAAAACAAAGTCAGTCCCAGTCATTTCTCACAAAGCAGCTCAAGGAGTGTGGCTGAGCTTCAGCGAGGAAAAGCAAGAGCAGCGAGCGCCTGCCGAAAGCTTCATGGAACGGCAATTTTGCTTCACGTGTGGGGAGGTGTGGGTCAAAGTGGTCGCCCCAAAACATCCCAAAACCAAAAAACGGACAAGGTCGGCTAAAGGACTTCGACTCACAGTGACATATCAGATCATCCGCTCCCACTCGCCACAGAGCTCACATGGCTCGACCCTCGACCCGGCTCACCGGTGCAGCACCGAGGTTGCGTGAAGCCTTGGCGAAAGCGAACGGCTCGAAGGACGGGAAGAACGAAGCTACGAACGTAACAAAGGGCATCGCTACTAGGAACAAGAAGCTACTAGTAGCTAGGACGAAGGGCCGAAGGGCCGAAGGGAAGAGACTTGGCTTCGCCGGGGGCGGGGTGCAAGTCATGACTCGTAAAGAAGCCAAAGCAGTTCCTTTTTGTAAGACACACGGGTGCGTCATTCAAGTCGCAGCATTGAAGTGATTCTATCCATTGGAAGCGTCATACTGTCTACTCTCAACAGGTTCGTTCCCCGGTCCTCTTGCACTGTAGCGGCCTTGCCAGTTTTGAGGTAATATGCTTACTGTATATACACAGACACTTAAGAGGCCTGCAACAGTATAGACTGGACTTCTTTTTGGGTGCGAGAGATGTCTCTTTGCCATCAGCTCTGATTTCTAATTTCATCAAGTCGCCAGGACAAAGTTTCAGATCTCGAGGTAGCGAGATGGTGTCGCTCGTGCGTGTGTTCCGTTGGCGCAAGATTGACAGTTCCTCCAGCTTGATATCGAAGCTGGGCAATAATGGGGCTCCGCTCCTGGGGAAAAACCGAGTGGAGCATCTCCAATGCGTCTGACCAGGCATGTTCATGTCATTGTCGTGGTTTACAGGCCAGCTTTCCCAAGACTTCCAGCCAGACTTCCAAGGTTTGAACCCCAAGTTCTGCTGTGTTCGGCGCCCGGCCGCGCCCGCAGGTGCAGCGTTTGAGGCAAGCCTTGGCGTCGTCACATGCGAAGCTTCAGAGCTATGAAGAGTCCAAAGAGGCGGAACCTTTTGTGCTCAGATGTGAGAGGCAGAGTCATGACTGGCCTTTGACTGGTGGCTTCTCCTGTTTGCATATTTGGTGCATCCACTTTGACCATTCTGTGATCGTTGCTTTGCCAAGGGTACAATCTGTATTTGAGCTGATAGCAATAGGAGTCTATGGCAGCAAGAGCAGAGAGCCGAATTACAGCATCGCTGGCTCATCACTCGTGATCAGGTGGAGCCCGATACTGCAAGGACCGGGCTTAGAGATGAGAGACTGGTCGCCCCAGGCAGTAGACAGCCAAGGGTTTGTGTGAAGCCTTTAGCTGAGGTCATAGGCATTCCGCAACTTTGGGCAGCACGCCCCCTGAAGATCCATGTGATCCGACCATAGCACGCAATTGAAGCCTGCAGCTATGTCAATGTGAAGTGGTCCACTTCAGGACCATTGTCGCGCGAGGTGATGAAGAGATAAGGCCGCATGTGGGGGGCGAGGTACTGCACATGAGAGCTTGTTCAACTTACAAAGTCAGAATCAGTCAATTTTGTCAACATCGCCATATATTTTGTGGAAGGCAGTTGATCGATATGCTTGAACCACGAAAGCATCGCTGGCCACGAGCGAGATGCAAGCAGATTGTGAAGTAATTCTATTTTTTTCCCACCAAGTGCCTTTCCTGCATCCGTTTCCAGTGTGCCGAACCCGTTTCCGCAGGCCCATCAAGCCGGAACATCTTCCAGGTGTGGCAGTAGCCTGTAAAAGCACCACCACAGTAGTAAAGCAGCATGCAGACGAGCGAAGAACGAGGATATACAGGGGGGAGTTTGACGTCTTCACCGAGCTCTTTTCAGCAGTGGAAGCAGCGGTCAAGCTCACTTTCTTTGGGATCGCAGGAAGTAACTTGTGCATGGTGGATGGTCATGGATGGTCATGGATGGTCATGGCTATACCACTTCTTCAAAGAGGCCCCTTTGGCATCGTACCCCGCGCCGCAATGTTGCTGTTAAGATGAAGTTATGACTACCATTGGGTCGTGGAGCGGAGCGGTGTTGTGCAGGGTTCACACGTGGCTGCCAGGTAGTGTTGTGAAGGTGGTGCCGCGGTCGCCGGTGAGCTTCGTTAGCCTCAGACCCCAGCAAATGCTCACGACCCTCGGATTCCACCGAGCAACAGCGGTACTGTGTTCGCTGAAACCAAGTGAAGGTAAGTTCTGTCCAGGAGATGTCCGGGTAATTTGGAGGGACATATTGCCGGGCAGAGTTTGATCAACACTTCAGCAGTGTCATAACGGCAGTGGCAACATCAATCATAATATTGACCAATAAGTTTTTGTTCGTGACTGAAGCTACTAGTAACAAGAAGCTGCTAGGGGCTCCTGGCCTTACTACTACGAGCGAGGACGCTACTAGGGGCTCCTGGCATCGCTACTAGGAGCACGGACGCTAGTAGTAATTGGTTGAACTGATGTCTTTGGTAAGATCTACACATGACTCATCACTGAGGCCGTGTGTCCCCCTCGCCCATCCGACCCATTGTCTCGCCAAAGAGAACCTCCAGGCCGGGTGTGTGCCTTTGGCGCTCCAAGCTGGGACAGTTCCTGGGGGACCATTGTTAAGCTGCTTTTCATGATCTCAAGATGGCTCTGCAGTCAAAAATGCCCGAGCAAGCACAGCGAAGGCACAGCAAGCGCAGACTTCTTATATGAGCCATTCTTGGAGGCAACCTACAATGTAAAATGACAGGCTTCCTTGGGGGTCATCAGTTTTCGTTGCGACCTTTTACTTCATGGATCGAGGGGCCATGCATCGAGTTTCTGGACGTCTTCATGGCACATCCTCCGCAGCGGCCAGGAAGACGATCGAGATCGCAATGTCTCCACCAGCACGACCGTCCTCCATGGCACGTCCTTGGAGTCCAGGGGATGTTTTGAAGGAATTTCTCCACGGAAGCTCTATCATTGATCCAAGAGAGAATGTTGCCATACCCAAGCCAATGAGTCTCAAAGAGCCTTGTTTCAATGAAGCGCCAATTAGTCTCGATCTGGAGTTGAGCGGACATGGAGCCAGCACAAAGTCGTGGTTCGAAGACCGCAGGCTTCTGAATATCCACCCTTAAGACAGTTTGTGGAAGACCTTCATGCCAAACTAGGCGAGCATGCTTCTCACCAGAGACAGAGCAGGAAATGAGCTTGTTCTTGGTTGACTCATGTCATATTTGGTGTTTTCTTTCAAGATATCCTCCCTGATAGGCCACCTGCCAAAAAAAGTCCTGAAGGTACCTGCAACTCTTTCGCCAATGCTTTAAACAATTTTGGTTGACGATGCTCAAGCTAAGTTAGAAACTGTACAAGTCCAGATGTTTGATGACTTTTGCTCGAAACGCTTCAGGGTGCAGCTGTCGCCACATCCCTGGAGGCCCTTTCTTCCTTTTCATGACACTGCATCGGGTGTGCAGTTGTCATTGGCATGGTCCAATGTCAAATCCATAGCTATCACTGGGCTCTTTTCCACTCGTGCACCGGCCACGTGGTGAGACTTGGGAGGCTACTGACCCGACTAAACACTAAACCACCTAGCCAGGCTAGCCATGATGCCGTGCAGTTCAAAGAATCCTACAGATCCGGACTATGAACATCCCAAGCAAGATATGAAAGGCTTTGTTGGATAAAGATCTCTGCCGTGATCAGATAAATTATGAGACTACATTGCTTCAGTCGCGCTTTGACTTTGAATGCCCCCCAGCTGCTCGGACCGCGTGCAGGGGCCGCATGACGGAGTCTGCTCCTCACATCAACCGCGAGGCTCGGCTTGCAATGTTTTGCCGTGTCGGCCTCCCTCAAATCTTTGCAATCCGTTGCAAGACATGGCAGCAGTTGACGCATGATTTCCAACAAGTCCAGACGGTGTGGCCAATCGCATTTGTTGATGACTAGGCTGTTCTGCCACAAACTTTGGCGGAGCTGTTGGAATCCAATCTGGCCCAATTACTGTACACAATTCACTCAAGGGCATCTAGAATCCACACCGGAAAAGTTAAAGCCTATGCACATTCAGAGGTTGAAAGCAACTCGCGTTCAATCACCTCTAAGATCAAACATAAAGAGGCCTGAGCCAAACTTGCATGAGATTCGCACATGTCCAATGACAGAAGCTTCCTTTGCGAAAGCACTGCACGTACAACATATGTACAATATATTGTATGCAAACATTTGTAACTTTTACAATACAATCTACAATATGTCTCATGCATATTATTTGCTTATGTATAACTGTATAACACACATGTATGTGAGACCATCCCCGCCCAGGCTCCGTCCTCCACCCCTTCAGCGCCGCAAGCACCGGCACAGTCGCCTCCGAGGTGTGGAACCTTGAGCAGCATGGAACCAGAGACAACAGCTGGACCATAATATGTATACTGAGTACACTGTATATATAATACAATATTAATAAATAAATACATATATTCATTATACAACAACCAGGTGTAGTGGGTAGGTCTCTTAAGTTAGAAGCTGCTACATGATGCAACTTTAGGCATGAGTCATGGGGTTTGTCCAGCCCTGCCTTGTTCAGGCCACCGGCTTTGCAGCCCAACCAGGCTGGGACAGCTTGTTTGATGCGCTTTTAACAAGACAAATCCTGCCTGGTTCAGTGGGAGTAACCTAAGCCCAAGCCTTAAGCTGTTACTGCTTTACATCAGGAAGCTCATTGTTCATTGTCGGTGTCAGCAATCCCTTGGCCCTTACAGGTGATGAAAAGCACCGTGGTGCCGGTGTGGGAGCTCGGACGTGAAATGGTAGGGTTATGGATTTGCAGAACCAAAATGGTGGGTTGCGATGTTGGTGTTTGGCCTGTGTTTGACCTTTGGTGACTATGTGCGTTGCAATCGGTGAGGTATGTTTGATACTCAGGGTTAGAAAGGGTCCTTGGAGAAAGTTTGAAACTGGTTTTGCTGGGCTGCCATGGGCAATTGATGCTCTCATCTTCGTTTGTGCAGCAAATTGATGGGAACATGTGCTGAAATGTTTGCCTGTTTCCTGAGCTGGTTTCTGCCACCATCTCTCAGTGGATGGTGGTGGAGAAAAAGTCCTACCTGTCAACATACTCTACGCCAATCACCATACTGGCCGCTTCTTTTGAATGTGCTAAGAGCAAAATCTTAGGCTGTGACGAGACTTTAAGGCCGCATGAGTCACTGATGCCGTATCTGGAACAGTTTCGTGCAGCTGGCGATTCTCACCATTTGTGAGGTCTCTGGGCGATCGCCTGGGACACCAGTACCTTCCTGAGCTTCTCAGACCGGTCTTTGGCTAGATGTTGATAGGTCTTGTTACTAGTATCTTCTAGCTACTAGTACCTTGTTACTAGTAGAGTTGCCCTTGTTCCTAGTAGCTTTTTGTTGCTAGCAGCAATGCCAGGAGTTACTAGTAGCTTTGTCAGGTCCTGGTCAATGATCTTGCTGTGTCTCACTGATCTAATTTGAAAGGCAGCGATCGGCTGTCATGCCAAGGTGCCGAGCAAAAAGTTGGCAAGCTGGACTACCCCAAGGCGCTTTGGGAGCCCTCTGCAATGGTCAGAAAGATTGGGAGGGTTGGGATATGGCCTCGGTGCTGTTTTCTGCATGACGACTTCAAGTGTGTATTTGGTGCAAGATGTTACAGTATCCGTTGGAGTTACAGCACGCCTTTCATGAAATTCTGAAAGCAATCTCGCATGCATTTTTTTCTTCGCTCGTCCTTCTGAATAAAAATACCCAGAGGTCTTGTAAATATTAATAATCTATTTATATTTCTAAAGCATTAAGGTACCAATCGTTGACTGCTTCCGGACATGGACTCTGAAAAAGGGCTGCTCTGCCGTTGCCCTTGCTGCCCCTTCACAGGATTTGACAGTCGCATCCAGTAGCTTGACGTGTCCCAAGTGGTCGGATGGAATTCCAATGAACCGCAGCTTCGCCGTTGCCAGGGCTGGAACTCCAGCCGTCGTGAGGCGCGGCTCTTCGACGCCCAACGATTGAACAAGAGAATCACATCACATTTGTTATACCAGATGCTCTTGTTGTTGTCTGATGACTTACACACGGTGAGCTGAAGTATTTGCACACATTCGTAGGAAAGGTTCCGTTGGCAAATCCAGAGCTTGCTACTCACTATCCCTCAAAGATCCTCAAAGTAGATTCAGTTGATCTGTGGCAACCGATCAGCTTTCCCGGCAGGGTAGTGGGAAAGTATTTAGCGGCATCGTTTTAAGTCATGGCAGTTTGGCTTCTGCCAAAGGCTTGCGTAGTTCAGCTTGTATGATTTCAAGGATTGAAATGCAATCGCAAAAGCGGGTGCTGACGGGCCAATGTGATTGGCTTGAGATTTGCATCCCAATCCCTAATCCCTCTCTACTGCAGAAGAATACACGCGCAGCGGGAGGGCTGGCTTCCTCATCCCAGGGTAGCTCCGCCCGCATTGAGTACAACTCGAAGCACTGTGCAAGTGTCTCCTGCGAAGGTGGGGCTTGCAGAGGGGAACCATGTCTTTCGAGCTATTGAAACTGTTGGATGGCGCATAGTCAAGTCTGGGTTTCTACAGATTTCTCCTAAATTTGTTGTCTCGAATCCTTCCGTCAGATGCACTTTGAACATCTTCACTTTGAGATCGCACTTTAACGCTTGTGGAAAGCACTGAACCGAAACGTGCACAGGCGACCCGTGCTGGTTCCCTTTCTGCCCCGCCTGTGCTGCTACTTCCGGAGACCAGCGCTGGTGGTGACAGACTTTTGTGTATCGATGGGGCCCCATTTGATTGATGCTACAAGTGTCTATCTCAGCTATCCCTACATCTAATATGCTGAGTTGCAACATGCTGCACTGGAGTCAAGGCTCCCTTTGAAGAGCGATTCTCTTTGGTATGTCTGCATACCGCTGCAGCTTTTTGCCTCAAGCGGCAAATCCTTAATTACATAGACAAAGAATTTCTGCAAGATGGCACCACTGGATGCAGTTTGCTGAGGGACCTGACAAACTGCATAGCAGTTTGATCGGCATAGCAGTTCCTTGGCTCATACGCCCTGAGATTCGACTTCATCCACCCGAGCCGCCTCAATACGCTTAACGATCGCCAGCCATGTTTTCTGTTTGAGCACGATGGATGATGCACGGATTCCGTTCCAGCGGTCTTTGCGCCCGGAAGAACCGGCAGAGAGCACCTCGAATGCATTTGGCAAAGTGAGGAGGTTGGTAACTTGGTATTCTCGAGGAAATGAGGCAACCAAGAATCATTCTCGATTCTAGAAGCATGCAGGTTAGTCTGCTATGCTAGGTCAGATGTCTTGGCAACAGCTGGACGGAGAGAGGCTCTCCCAGGCAGGGAGGGAGCCTCAAATGACTTACTCTGTACGACCTCAACGCGACCTGAACGAATCTCTGGTCCTTGGTACAACACGGCCCAAAGCCAGTTGTAGAGATAGACAATGTCGGGGGAGGGGAACTGCCATAGTTTGATATGTTCATTTGTGTGCTATTGTCACCTCTGCCTTGTGTAGGATCCGGATTGGCCAGCCAGTGCTTGCTGGGCACTCTCATACGCTTCTGGGATGACAAGTTTGATTTCCTTCTATTCTAGCCTTCTTCACTTTTTCAGTCATTCAACTCAGGGGCCCTAGTGGCCACTGGGACGTAAAACCCACCGTCTCAATCTAGTACTAGCCAACTGATGACTGCTACTCGCCACGAGAGTCTCAGGTCAAAATGCACAATATGCTCCTGCAAGAGGCCCGACAGATCCAGTCGGAGGGCCAGCAAGCTCAAGAAGAGCAACACGGACGTACCGGTCTCTTGGATTTGAGATTTTTGACATGCTGTTACTAGTAGCTCTAGTAGCTTCTTATTACTATTATTAGTAGTAATGCCAGGAGCCCCTAGTAGCAACCTTGCTCCTAGTAGGGATGCCCTTTGTTCCTAGTAGCTTCTTGTTACTAGAAGTTCCACCAGCCTGGGCCAAGTTCGAACACCTTTTCAGGCTGCCGGCCGGCTTCACATTCGTCAGAGACGGCAGGTTTCCGTTCGTGTGAGGCTTGGAAGCGGTCACCATTGCCAGCTCACTCAAGTTGCTGAAGAACGAAGTCTTCTCGTTGTGCCCAATGCACTTCTTGATCCTCGGCACCTCCGTGGTCCTTCTACACCACTAGTTTCTTCGTGGTGAGTCGTATTTTCTTCGCTACAGGCCCTGTTGCCGAACTTGCGTGCCGAGGATTTCGGGTATCGTGGTCTCCTTCGTGTTGACGACCTTGAGCTTTATGGTCCCATGGGTGCAGGGTCAACTGGTCGATGTGGCCGTCTCTGAAGCGGCCAAATATGCCAAAGATGGCCCGGAGGTGGGCCGTTGACGCTGAAATGGCCAGGTTTACGCTGAAATGGCCAGGTTTACCGGGTGCCCGGTGCTGTTGTTATGCTGGACAAAGAATGGATTACATAGGCTGTTTTGGAGGTTTGCTGGCCACATTTCGGAGCCACTTGCGCATGTCATGGACTTCCACTTTAGACAAACAGTTGCTCTCCTGAATGCTTTGGGAATGCCCACCTTGACTGTTCTTGAGAGTTAAGAAATATTCTTTCTAGGCGAACCATGTTAGGATGAACACTTGAGTCACTTGAGTGAAACAAATAGAGTAGGCTGCAGGAGACCCTACAGATGCATGCGACTTGCTTTCGGGTTATGAGTCAGTCAAACATGGTCTACCTCCACCGTTCAGGATCTTTTTGGACAAGATGTGCTGGAGGGCAGGGCTTGGCCCCTGATTCTTCATGTCACCTGCCTGGGAGGCTGTTGATATTGGCGCAGCACTCTTTGAACCCATCTTGCTCCTTTCGGCAACTCGACAGGAAACTTAGAACAATATGCAGCATGTTTGTCTTTGTATATATTTGCTTTGTCAGCCATTCAAGTCTTCATGTTTTGACACTCCTTTCTTGTTTATCATCTTGTAATTAATTGAGAAAGCTCCGCCCCTCTTTGGCTGGTCCAACTGATGCTGATGAGGTTCTGATGTTCAGCAGCTACCTTTGCGAGATCATGGTTGGCATCTTGGCATATTGCTACCTGCCAGAAACGAACACCTCTTGGTTTCAAGACGACCGACCAGTACCATCAACTGACACACTTCTGCTGCTGCTACATGTGGTCCCGAGTTCAAGCAAATCAGTCTTCTTTCCTGCCCTCCTTGACAAAACAGCGAGGCATTCTTTTTGCCATTTGTGGTCACACGACGGTGACTCGACTGCGAATCAAGCTCTTCCAGAACCTCACCGAGCAAGAGCATCTTGGCCAGAGAAGTCGCGATAGATCTTCCCAATGCCAACCTTGGAAGAAAGGAGGTGTGTCTGTAGTGACATTGGTAAAGTTAGACTTCTGACGAAGAGTATAATAGTTAATAGAGTATATGACATCTTGACATGGAAACAGAAGCAGTTGGCGAGCTTCTGGCACTGTTGAAATGACATGTTGAAGCTTGATGTGGTCATTGATGATACTTAAGGTGTTGTTCGTTTGTGGCCTTCTTTCCATGTCTTGCTCCATTTCCCGAACTAGTTCAAAATTGGAACTTCTGTGGAGCCTGCCGGTTCAGGCAAAAGACTAGATCGGATTACCTCGCGTTTTTGCTGTGAGAAACCATCCATACTGAATACTGCTCACACAACTGGTTCTTATACAGATGTTTTTTTCGGAGTCAATTCGGCTTTGCCTGCTTTATCTTCTGCAAGGATCGCCTTTTACGACTCGCACGTGAGTGGTGAGCTCTCCAGTCGTTTGATCAACGACTCTCAAGCCCTGTCCTCCTTGACACAGTTCACCACGCAGAGACTTGGATACAGTTTTGGTCGGGTCAAGATCCAGTGATCCGGCGATTCAGCGATCTTTTCAGCCGTGCAAACAATCACGAGCAAAGGGCATCGCTACTAGGAACAAGGACGCAACTAGGGGCTCCTGGCCTTACTACTAGGAACAAAAACGTTACTAGGAACGAAGGGCATAGGGAACGACGCTTCCGTGCGGCCCACGCCGAGGACGGTACTGGGCGCGGTGGTAAAGTTTGCCGGTTCCTTGCTGGCGATGTTCGCCACACACCCAAAGCTGGCCTTGCTGGTCACCCGGTGAAGAAAGAGGTTTGCTGCTGGGGGTGATAGGGGGTTGGTTGAAAACGAACAAGGACGACTGATGTTCCAGGATGTTCCAAGCCTCAACATGTCTATTTATTCAAATTGAAATTCAAATTCATCTATTTCTTCGAGAGATGACATGCCCTGCTGTGCTTTTTCGACAATTACACGACAGCAGAAGGAGGGTCCACTCTTCACCACGCTACGAAGCAATACCACACCCGAAAAGCAGCGTGGTCCCAGTACCAAGAACCTCGCGCTGTGCCGCTGTGCAGTATGAAAGGGTTTTAGTCCAATGATTTGAAGGGGTACAGAGTGACAAGCATTTTTGTTCCTTCTTCCAAGTCCTGGCATCACCTCTTTGCACATACTGGACACTTTGGGGCCTTGAGGCGCTCCTTTTTCAAGATCGGGCTACCGAGGCGACCATCATCACTCCCATCAACATGGTCCTTGTAAAGCGGACCGGAAAGACGGCGCCTGTGGTGGCAGCGGTTGTTTCGTTTGCTTTTGGCAGTTCCTTTTTCTAGTTTAACCGGTTTAACCTAAGTGAACTAGTGGGTCAACAATCGAGTTTTGTGGCTTCCACCACACCTGGTCTGGAGTCTGGATATGACTAATTGTGCTATTTGATTAGGCTGCAATCAATGCTCTTTCGGCCTTCCAAGAGGGTTTGCTGCAAAGCACCGTGAAGAAAGGACTTGTATCGCAAAACAGATTGTTCTTTCATGTTATTTATGGAGGTCTCAAGGCTTATCCAGCTGAGAGCACATCAGGTCCTCACAGCGGGACAGCCTTTTCATTGTTTTTTCTTTGTTTGGCACATTTTCTTGTCTTCAAACTTCAAACCAAGGGGTTTTAATGACATATTTTTTTGGCCACACCTCCTTCATTTTGTGCAATCGAATCAGCCTTCCCTGGCTTTTCAAAACACACTCGTTTGCATTCTGGGAATGACTTGGCACTGTCCAGCAGGTTGGGTTCTATGGTGTTGTGCAGAACCATGCCATGGCAAAAGCCAATGCGGTGGCAGTGGAAGTGCTGGGTAGTGTGAGGACTGTTCTGCTAGGCTCTCCTGTGCATTGCAATCAAGTCATCTGATGGAAGATAGTCATACAAGGTGAGAACGGTTTTATTGGGGACATCTATGGTGAACGCGGCCATTCATAATCAAAGAGTCTTAGGTCAGGGCTTTGCCTTCTGAGCCATAAATCTATGATGAAAGCTGTCAAATGTTCGACTCTGAAGACTTGGAGGACTGTCCAATCCAATGTCGGAGAACAGTATGAGGCTGAGTTCTTCATGCATCGCTTGAATCGCTATCTTCGGATCATCAAAGCGACGGTCTCCCGAGGAACGTTGGCATGTTTTGGTGAGGTTTGTTCTATGAGGATGAAAGTCTTGAGTCTAGATGCTCGTCTTTTTCTGTGCTGTCGGGTCTATATGGGGTTTTACCACTCAACTTCACAGTGGAAGCTATAGGACAGTTTCTCACTCAAGTGCAGTGCAGCTTGTGGTGAGCTTATCACGCACTCCATCACATGTTGTATGAGACTGGCTTGAAAGATTCAGGTATATCTAGAGACTGTGCTCCGCTTCACGCAGTACGGCCTGTCCAAAGTCCGAAATATCGTCGTTCTTGCTGTTGCAATGAATCAAGTGATAACCGGACAACTGACCATCGGCAGCTACACTGCATTTGCGCAGTATGTGACCCTCTATGAGGACCGCCCAGTCATTCCCCCGGAACACATGCTTGTCCAAAGGCGGCAACATTTGCTTTGTCAGGATTCACAACCCTGTGCTGGCCGGGAGAAGTCTATCACACTTATAGTAATAATATAAATACTTGTGCAGTACATTGCGAATCATTGCGGTACTCTAGCTTAAGTTTGCATCAGGATGCTACTCTGATCTGCTCAAGATCAGAGACATATGGTGAAAGGTGTTGGCGGAAGCACGACAATAGGTGTTTGCATCACTCTTGATGTCCCAGATCTATATAAGGTGCCTATGATTTCTGAGCCGGCATAGGCAAGAGTAGACATTTACCGTTGTGGTGACCTTGCAGGATGGCTTCAAGAATCTGGCAGACATTTGGATCAATTTCAAGCAAACCATCACCTCTACCGGGAAGTTCATCCAGCTGCTGTTGCGTCAGCCAGATTTTGCCTTCGACCAGGGCTTGCAGCCCACGAACTGCCTTGGGCGTTTGCACCTCAAGGATGTGTCCTTCGCCTATGCAAGTCGTCCTGATCATCAGGTCTTGTCCTCAATCAACTTGGAAGCTAATCCAGGAGATGTGGTTGCTTTGGTGGGGGAAAGTGGCGCAGGCAAAAGTACCCTAGGACGATTGCTCTTACGGCACTATGATCCTACAAGCGGACACATTTTCTTCGATGCCCTTGACTATCGAAGCCTAAATCTTCGATGGTTGCGCGCTCAGATTGGTTACGTGGTGATGCCTCAGCATTCTTGTGCGTAGCTTTTGCCCTCTTTCCCCGGCCATGCGGCCACGCCGTCCTTCAAAGGTACATGCGGGTGACCTGGTAGAGTTGAATGCGGACAGGTCGTAGGCCCCTTCTACGACCTGTCCTGCTGGAAACTGGGCTCACCATCTGCACGTTGCGCCCAGGCTTTGTAGAGCAAGAGCCAGTCTTGTTCGACCGGACGCTCGAGGAGAACATCGCCTATGGCAGTGCCAAAGGTGCGCCCATGAAGGATATCCAGGAGAGCAGGAAATCCTCGCTACCAAGCGATTTCAAGGATCATGATATGACAATATGACAATAAGCAGCAAAGCATGGCAATGTACTGCATGCCACAGTTAGGCTACGGCTCTAATTAATCTTGTGAACTCAGAATGCATGTGGAGATGGGAAACTCAAAGGTAATGGATTGCCGGTCCTCTACACTGTCATGAAGGACATAGTGCACCCCTTGAGACATGACACTTTGCAGGGTCAACAAAAACACACACATGCTATTCAGGAGGCTGCAAGTCGTGCCAATGCTCACAACTTCATTTCTACGCTGCAAAATGGATACAATACTCATCCTGGTGAGCGCGCTGCTCGAATTTCAGGTGGACAGAAACAGCGCGCAACTTGGCGCATATGTGTTGGCAGAGCTCTTTACACTTGTCTTTCGCTGCATCTCCTACCGTTCGGAAATTTCTCACTCGCCAGCTACTAGGTCCAAGACCCCGTTCGTGTTTTCCTACTCCCAAATTTGGGAAGAGTTGGTTTTTGCATGTTTTTTCCTGCATTGACTGACTGACTGACTTGCTTGCTTGCTTGCTTACTTACTTTTGTCACCAAGGTGGCTATTGCGCGTGCAATCATTCGTAACCCGAAGCTTTTAGTACTCGACGAAGCCACTAGTGCATTGGACAGCGAGAATGAGCATATAGTTCAGCAAGCACTGGACGAGCTGATGAATGGGAGGACGACCTTTGTCACCTACCTGTCAGTTTGGCAGTTCTGGTTTTCTCCTGTCTTTGGTCCTGCCGTTTTTCACAAGTTTTCCGATGCAAATCCGATTCGCCCATGGCCCAGGTCATTGCCCACCGCTTGTCCACGGTGATTGGGGCCACAAAGATCATGGTCCTGGACAAGGGCTACGTCATTGAAGAAGGAAGTCACAGCGAGTGCTTGGGTCGGAGCTCAAGTAGGTTTTTCTTGACCTCCAAATCTGACCCCGACAGCCTGAACTCGGTATGACCCCCTACAATTAAAGAGGAAGGACATGGAAGGAAACACTTTGCTCATTCCACTTCCTAAGACATCTTAACGTCTGGACGCACGTCTGGACGCATTTAGGTTGGTGGCTCGAGAGAACTCCAGATATGGGAGCTTCATGAAGCACCAGCTGGTGAGCCCTCTGCTGTCCTAGCTATGCTTTGAAGAGGGGCTATGGAGAGAAGCCAGATTGGGGATAGTAGGATGAATGTGCAATCCATCAGGAATTCATGTTTGGTGCATGACCCGCAACATAGTAGGTCGCCAGGAACCATTCAGTAGGTATCGGCAACTTGAACACATTTATATAATTCATAGCAGGATCATTCCACAGCCCTAATATCTCATTTAGCAGCGTTCACAGACTGTGAGGAGTTACCTCACGCCCGGTGATCAGACATCGACTGAAGAGCGGTCGAACTGATTGTCCCATCAGCTCAAGAAAGCAAAGAGCGTCAGGAAGAGCTTCCAGAGAATATCAGATAATAATACTGGCAATCTTGCTCTTCGAGACTGTAGTAGTTTTTTGGTACAAAGTCAGGCTGGCACTGCACTTGGTCAAGCTGACTGTGTAGACTACCTCCAGCTGGATTACAATCAATTCCGTTGCCTACACAATTGCCCGTGTCGGCACTAATGTCCTGATGTTTAATGGGGTCTGGAGCGGAGTCAGACTCAGGGCAAAACAGTAAAGAGGGTTTGAGGTTTGAGGGTTGCGACAGTAGTTGACTTGTTGCAGGCTCAAACCTCCACATCCAGCACTCTTCATGACATGAACTGATACTGTAATGCATTTTATGCTCAACCACAGGAACTTCACCCAAGTGCGCCCGAGAAACCAAGTGTAGGGTTTGCAGACATGTTCAAAGATACCAGAAAGCTCGACCACAGGAGGTTTTGTCACCTCAACATCCACGCCTCTCTGTGTGGATGCCCAGCGTGTAATGGGAAGGGGCAGTGAGGGCAAGAGGCACGGACTTTGCTTCCTGGGGAGGGCAGAGATGATGACTGTTCCGTTGGCAGAGCTTCGCTGATTCGGATGGGAGTGTTCTCTGCATCGGGAAAGGAATTGGACTGCCAGGCCCCTTCCTTAGTGGAAATCCGGACGCAGGCGCAGCGCGGGCATAGGGGACGAGCTTGGGAAGGAACGTCCAAGAGCCTGAATAGACGTTAGTTTGTCTCAGATTGTGGACATCCAAACCAGTTGGAAGAGTGTATTTATATGTATTTATGCAGAACATATGTTTGGAAGTCCTTGTAGCTTGCAACATCCTACTTGGTCGCCCTTTTGTTCACTGCTCAGGTCATGCCTCTTTGTGCGAAGGACCTCCGTTCACATGTGGTGACAGATAGGTCGACGCCCTCTGCACATGTGAAGCCATGCCATGCAGGCTTCGGAGTTTGAATTCCACAGTAGTTGGTTTCAATACTCTGGTGCGAACATTCCGAGCTCAGTTTGAGAACGAATGAGACAAGATGTGATGATGTGATGAGTCAGATCCATGTGGGGGTGGATCTTTGGCAAGTTACTCGATTCTCAATGTCGATTGGCGGGAAGGTAAGGGGGAGCGGGAAGGTTTAAGGATGTCTAAGGTCTGTTCATGTCTGCTCCATCGTCTGCTCTGTAAAGGTGATTGTTTTCCACCGTGACTTGCTTTCGGTCTCCTCTCGGCCCTCCTGGTCGCAACATTTCTGGACTGCATCGTACGCTTGAATTGAAGTGTTCCTTGACTGGAGAGATCCCACACTCAAAGCCATATACCTAGTGTTTTGGGCACCTTTAACAACTTACAACTTACAACTAGGACTCTAGGTCTTCTCTAGGACTCTAGGACTCTAGGTCTTTAACAACTTACAACTTTGATGACTTTGCAAGTCCCGGCAATTCGCATCACTCCACCTGGGAGTGCCTGAATTTGATTGAATTTGTGCAGAACGGACAGGTCAAGGCAAGCTTGACCCAGAATCCCAGACACCCCAGTGCATTCAAAGGGATTGCTTGTGTGTGTGTGTGTTGTGTCCTAACTTGGTATTGTAAGTAGCCTCGGAAGAGCTTGTTGGCCATTTTGTGTGAGTTTGCATACCCACGGAATGAATTGTTGGCTGCAAGCCCCATCGAACAACAGTGGGCACACTCCAGTGGTTTTGTTCTTGCAGCTGGACCAATAGCTCGTGCGGTGCCTTTGAGGGTGTGTGTAGCATGTTTTGGATGGGAGATGCGGTCGGTATCCTTCTTTTTCAGCTAATTTATCTCCAAGAAACATTATGAGATGAGGTTTGGCATGTTTTATTTAGTTACTTATCTATTTTTTTAAAAATAATTGTGACTACATCCCACGCTGATTCCAACTTCTATCACTTGCTGCGACCTGCGACCGAGAGTCCCCGTCCGTTTTCCCGGATGGTCGTGGACTGCAGCCAACGCAAGAGGCGAACGTGCACGATAAAAAGCAGAAAACTTTGGGCGGACCCGCGACTTCAGGTAGGAACGCTTTGGCTTCGCTCACGAAGCTTCCAGATTCTGTGACTTTATGGTGTAGTTGATGTGTGGAGTGCCATTGGGTGAAGGATCTAGATGAAAAATTACGACAAGAGTAAGGTAGTAAACAGTCAAGTGCAGTGTTCATGACTGAAGTGCTCACAAGTATCGATCCTCCTTTAGCCCTTTTTGAACATGTACTTGTCAAGGCACTGCAAATCTTAATAATGGCTTTGCTGTATAGCCATTTGCTTTGAGTGCCTTTGCAATAATATCCCTGTAGACACAAGACCAAACTGAATAAAGTGAATCTCAATCCCACTGATATGCCTTGGGCATCACATTTGTTTGACGAAGTGTTGAGAGGGGCCTGATGGTGATTTGTGCATACGAGACTAACAATTATCAACGAATGGCTAAAGAATTCTGGTTTGTAACCTTTCAGCTAGCAGCCTAGCAGATGTAGGAAGGTCCGCAGTTGAGCAGCTGTGCCATGGAGCAGCATCGACATAGGTGCAATCACTGCAGCGGGTTGTGGATGGATACATACACAAATAGCTCGAATGACTGTCTAATTTGTCCCACTTGCTAGGATATGCCATGATATGCCCTCCCACCTTATCCAAGGGACTGAATTGATTGAAGGGTCAGATTGAGTCGCCTTGCACCGTGAGCACAGTGAGCATCGCACTCTTTTTTTAATATCAGATTTTGCATTTCATCACGGATTTAGTTCCAACATTTCTGCACCTGTAGGCTGCTGTCACTATTGCTTTTGCTGGTCCGGCAGCCCAGGCGCACGGCAAATCAAACGTCTGAGAAAGTGCACCGGTTTCACTTGCTTTCTTTAAGAGAAAATAGCTCAGACCAAGGAGGAACGAGAGAGGCTGTGCAGAGGCGAACACTCACTGGTCATTCACCCTCCAAGGTTTGGCCACCAGTTTTCTTGGCCCCTCGGGCTCAACCTGAGGCCAAAGACAGATGCATTGACTGCGGATTTGTTAATTTTTGACTGTTTGCATTGAGTATGCAGTGGCTCCTTAAAGCCTTTGCCAGCTTGGAATCGACAGCCACGCTTTGGGCGTGGGCAGGAGATCCCAAAGGTGGATTTGAGCAAGTTGAGCTTGGAGGACTGCACGTCAGATTGCAAGTCAGGCGTTTCACAGATGTCTCACAATATCTCCTTTCAAAGTATGGACTCCGGTCAGTTGCATCCTTTGGAGCTAGCAGGTTGGAGGCCATCGCTATTATCAATAGCGTTTCAAGAACCGGTGGCCATGTGGCGACGGCGCCTCAGGATTTGCTGCCCTCCTTGCCGTTCGAGTCGCGGAGGGCGCTCGCAGAACGTGAGATCTTACAGCCAAGCACGGAGGACCTAGCGCGGAGTCGACCAAAGAGAGGATGCCCAAGCAAAAGCAGAGACACCATCAAGAAACCAAAAGAATCTACAGTATAACTTCTAGATCACTGAAACAAAGCTTTGAGGTGCTGCATACAGGCAGCTGGTGATCTTTCCTTCCATGGCCCAGCCCAGGTTTCTGCCTGGAAGGTTGATGCTGGTGCAGATGATTTGTGCCGCCTCAATGCGTTCTCTGCTGCTGGAGCTGAGACGGTCTTGCACCTCCCTCCTTCACACACACTTGACACCAACCTTTCCAAGGACGACTTCCTTCTTTGTGTGGGTGGTCGCCTTGGCGTCGATGTGTGCGCTGGAGGTGGAGCTTGTCGTTTCTGTGGTCATGTTGTTGATGCAAAGGGGCGTCACGCCCAGTCATGCATGGCTGGTGGGGATGCGGTTGCCCTTCACAATGGCCTCCGTGACCTGCTTTTGGATTATTGTACTCGAGCCCAACTCCGCCCTCAGGCGGAGGCCCCTGGTATCTTGGATGGACACCGGCGCCCGGCTGACATTTTGATTCGTCGTGGCGCTGGTCTTCTGCCTCGTTTACCAGATGGATCTCGTCCTCTACTTGAGCCTCTGGCCTTGGATGTGGCTGTCATCAACGCTTTGGGTGAGAGCCATTGGGATGAAACCCTTCGTGGCTCACATGAGGCAGTGTCGACCTATGCTCAGCACAAGCGGCTACATCTCCAGACTGAATCCACCTGTCGCCAGGCGGGGGTCACCTACTACCCCTTGGTATGGGATATTCATGGAGGGAGTACGCCTGAAACCCGGGCGTGGCTCCATCCCTGCGCCGGTCGTGCCTTGCGCCGCCGACGCGCCGCGGCTGCTGGCAGCTCGCTCACTGCGGGTCTTGCGGCCGGATTTCTTCTGGAGCCTTAGTTGTTGACGAGCAATTTGCTTGAAGATGGTGGCTGGTGGCTGCAACTTCTCTGCTTGTGTCTGAGCCGGCCTTTCCTTGCCTGCGCATGGCTGGCTACACATGCGAAGCAGCTGAACCTTTGGCGCTCCACTGACATTTGCCTTCTTCAGTCTGCAGATGACGTTGTCCAATTACTATTGATGTTGTAGGTTTATACCTTTGACCCTCGAGTTCACTCCCCAGGGCCCACAGGAGCCCGGCCATATTGTATGTATTGTACTTGACAACTTCGAAGGCTCGACGCTTCCTGCATGGGCGGCATTCTTGCCTTCGACGGTTTGTGGTATTTGTACGTCTTTGTTTCCGTATGTGACAGCTCACTGTACAGGAGCGGAATGTCATGTGCTCATCCCGGTAAGGACTTGTCGTTCTTTGAAGAAGATCGATACATATCGATAAATTCCTTCCATGTGTTTGTTGACAGGGAAGTTACTCATACCCTCAACGTGTTTACTCGGACTTCTTTCTTGGTTGTGCAGAGAGATAGAGAGAGCGAGCGATCGAAGGAGGAGTCGGAAGGAGAAAGGATGCATAGACAAAGTGCAAAAATCAGATCATGAAGAGCCTGTATTGAATTTGGGAATCATATATATACAGCCTCTACCCAGGTTGTTGAGGATAGTTAATTGTTATGGAGGGGTAGAGATATGCGCTTGCTAAGGCCCCATTCAAGCCTTAGCCTTGCCGCATATCGGCTCTGGCAAGCATGCGGTGCATGTGGCATGTTTACCTTTAGTCACAGGACAGCGATTTCCCAACTTGACAGAAACCCAGACATGAACATAAGGTCAGTTAGGTTGTACATGGTGAAATTCAGAATCCCTAGGTTGACACGTGTACTTGGGTCACTTGCCACACGAAGCGAACCTCCTAATACTGAAGTATCAAAGAAAGCTCAACCCCTTTTGCACGAATAAGACACGTTGTGAGCATTGCAACGTTTGTGAGCCGGTCTGGTCTCAATTTGCCAGCCAGGTGCTTGTCTCTGAAACAGGCCAGCAACGCATGGCGCTGTTGTGGGGAGCGTTGCATTTGCGCGTTGTGTTCTGAGATCGTGCGAGGCTCTGGGAAGACCTTGGCCTATTTACTCCCTGCTGTGGAGCGAGCCAGAGAGGCTGATGAGGCAGCCTCGGGGGTTCCAAGATGTTCAAAGTATAGACTGTATTGGACCACAAGCATTTTCTCTACAGTTTCAAGCTTGTTTCAACTGCTTGCAGGCTGACTGCCTTACCATAGCCAACTCATCCATAGGTCCATGGACTTTTCTTGATCACTTGCTGCTCCGATGGGCCAAAGGAGAGAAGAAAAAGCACAGGCAGGGTCGGGTGGCGTAGTTCAAAAAAGATCAATGTGAAACAGCTGCAAGAGGATGTCGGCAAGAGGCATGGGCAGGGCAGTTCATCTTCCACATGTTCACCCTAACACTCATTTGACGCATTGAGATCGCCGACTTCTTGATTTGCTGGCAGGGGTGTAACTATTTGAGGGTCCCCTGTTGGCTTTCGCTCTAGGTGCCTTAAGTACCCCTTCTTGTGCAGTAGGGATGGCCTAACCCGTCCACCTTTCAAAAGACAAATGCAGTCACCGAGTCTGAACGCAGGCCCCAGCTCGGTGATGATCTTGACACCCACCAGGTCCATGGGTAAAACGATGCGCGTGCAAAGGATGACATGTGATTGGCAGTGGGGAAAGGATTATGGCTGGAACGCCTTGTAGTTTCATTCCAGCCCTGCTGTCGGCAGCTTGCATGGCAACCCTTGTGAGGGCAGCAAACTGATCTTCAGAAGGTCTTCGCCATGCTTTAAAGTTCCAATCTTGCATGCCATGCTTTGCAACCTCAGCCTTAGACTGCCCGCCACGAATGACTTATGATCGTGCGGTTGTCTGGTCCGCTGGTCCGCTGGTCCGCCGGTCCGCCGGTCCGCCGGTTCGCCGGTCCGCGGGTCCGCTGGTCCGCTGGTCCGCTGGTCGCTGGTCCACCGGTTCGCCGGTCCGCTGGTCCGCTGGTCCGCTGGTCCGCCGGTCCGCTGGTCCGCCGTCCGCCGGTCCGCTGGTCCGCCGGTCCGCTGGTCCGCTGGTCCGCGGTCCGCTGCTCCCCTCCTCTCATGGATGCGCTCGTCCAGTGGTCCGGTCTGCGGTTCCGGTGGTCTATAAACTGGACATGGAAAGATTTTTTTGTTCTTCAGACAGCAACGTTAGGCAGCGTTTGACAATCAACCTCGTTGGGCCTGCCTGCAAGCATGATGCGGCGGAACGGAAGCGCCTCACCTATACCTGGGGCTTGAAGCCGAAAATCAGTAACAGAAGTCACCCTCATTGAACTGAAGTGATCATGCTTTGGAATGCCCACCAGAATCTCTGATGTACACCGTGCACCCTGCTTTTTCCAAACTTCAACGCCCCCATCCCTCGCCACCGCTCCTGCTAGTCTTGCACCACAGTGTAGGCGCAAGGTCTGCCTACGCTGCTGTTGTGGCTGACAGGTCTGCAATTAAGGGAGACAAGTTCGGATCTAGATTGTCATGACCAAATTCTGGGAAGGGCTCGGCGGGTGGAATACCTACGGGTGGATTGGTTTCACGCAGGTTTTGCAGGACCCACTTGGCTGCCTGCACCTGAACAACCAAACACCTGCGGATGAGCTCTTTTCACACTTCCTTAGCGACTGTTGTATATCTCCACAACGGCTCACTCCTCATCTCTGGGCCGTTTGCGCCGATCTTCCTGGCGCTTCCTTTCCTGGTTGCTGGATGCTTTCTCCATGGCGGCCACCAGCTCCCGCAAAGTCAGCCCACAAGCCCTCATCAATTCATTGTGGTACTTCACCTTGCCCTGCGCTGTGTCTGGGATCACTTTCAAACACAAAGTCTCACCCTGGAGCTGAAGGATGCTGGAATGCTGCTCTGCGGCTGCCGCCATGACCGCTGTCCATTTCTCTTTCGGAAGCGCTTTGCGGCGGCCCTGCTCCCTGCTGGTGCGCATTTTGTCACACGCTTCTTTGCGAGTCATCTTTGGCTTGCCGGTCAGCAAGGTGTGCTTCAGGATTGCCCGGTCTGTCCAGTGACGGCTGAAGAGACCGTCAGGCTGGACTGTGACGCCATTCTCGCCAAAACCAAAATCACTTGCCCGCACTTCATCAAGAACCAGCGGCTTTTCGCCTGCGGGTGGATCTTGGGGCGGTAGGTCCTCCACGACTTCGGCCACGCTGTCTGGAGGCCTTTCAAGCGAGTTGGGCCCAGGTTCCGCATCTTCTTCTTCAGGTTCAAGTTCAAATTCTTCTTCCTCGCCAGCTTGGGGAAGTCGAAGTCCGGGACCATGCTGGGTCGAAGCAAAATCTTCCGTCTGATAAGGAACACGCAAAGTTGCCAAATCGAAAGCAGGTTGCGGACTTGGCTGCTGGGGAAAATGGTCTGGGCTAGCGGCAGCATCTCCCAAAGCAATATGCTTCAGCTTCTGGACCTGAATTCGCGAATATAGCGCCAACCACAGATCTTGGGTTTTTGAAAATAAACAAACAAGAAACAAAGTGCCAAGAAACCAATTGGAGCAGAGCATAGGCCCTTTGGCAATGATCTGGAGTGACCTGCAAATCCCTCCGTCCAAGAGCTTCAACACTGTGCGCACCCACAAAGATTTCAAACACCAGGAGCAAAGCCGCCAAAACTCCCACTTGCCACGGAGCGGCTCCAAAGCGAGCGCCACCCTGAACATCCCCTGATTCGCGAGACAGATGGGCTTGCACATTCATTCCACCTTGGTAGGACATGTGCCAAGACTCCGCCTCCGGAGTGAGGGCAATGACTTGGTGAGGTTGGTCGAAGTAGGCAGTGACTCGGGAGACAGCGGCCGTCAGGGAGCACTCTGCTGGAATGGCAAAGCTTCTGTTGGCAACGCGCCACTGAGCTTCAAACCCAGACGTCGACGCAGGAGAACGTTTGAACCGTAGGCGGCTCATCTTGCCATCCAAGAGCCTCACAGGGTACCCATCTTCTGATGGGACATAGTCGCCCGCTGCATTCTGGGTGAGCTGCACTGCTTTTTCATCTTCAAGGCCAACGTCTTTCCACTCCTGAGCAGCGGCATCTGGCGAAGCAGCCTCTTTGGCTATGCCCAGCAGTGCCGCAATTTCGGCTGTGAGAGGAACCCATCGGTGCCGGGAAACTCCTGCGCTAAGCAAATCCAGCAAAGAATGTGAGCAGATTTTACAGAATCCAAAACGCTTTAACACAACACCCATTGCGCAGAACACCTGTCCTGGAGGGCAACAGAAATCTGCCGGCATGTCTTCATGCGGCTGCACAGGGCGGCCAGTGGAGATGACAAACCGTTCTTCGGTGGAAGCTGCGTGGCAACCAACCTCACCTCTTTCCATAGGGATGTATTGCGCAGGGTGCATATTGCAAGTGATCCCCATGCTAACGGTTCTAGCAAGCTTCTCTCCATAGCTCCCATTCGTTTTCGTGGCGCGAGCGCTGGTTCCAAACTGCAAGAGCTTGTTGAAGGCACTCTGGTACGGGTTCACCCTTGCCTTGGCTTTCTCCTTGGATGCAGGCCCATCGGACAAGAGACCCAAGCTGAGCAGGAAGTCGTAGGCCTCATCAAAATTCCCCAGCAAGCCAAACCAGCATCGGCCAGACCAGTCTCCGGGCAACTTGTCAGCATTTCGGACCTGGTTCCAATCGCCCGAGCATCGATGGAACCACTCCTCAGGTGTTGCGCTGGCAACCATTGCGGAGAATAGCTTCGGCTTCAACCTGGCACAAATGGCGGGCTCGTTTTTGGTTAGAATTCAACACCTAAAACTTCCCAGCCCCCTGTTTCAACAGCCCGCTCACACCTGTGCTGCACTGGCGCAGGAGCGCCTTCTTCCACGCAATACGTCGCCAGCTTGGACTCCGCGTTCGTCAAGATGACTGCGTCCAACTCCTGCCCACAAGCCTCTGCATGTCCTGTCAAGGATGATTTTCTCGTCTGGGCGTAGTTGACATTAATTGCAACCAACGTCAAAGGCGATGGCGAGGTAGCAAAGACAGCCACTTTGGCACCGTTCACAAGAGCACACATCAGCGACAAGCAGTGGAGGGCGTAAGGAAATTCTGCATGGGCTGCCCTAACAGCGTATGTTTGGCAGAAGCGGTGCCCAGCTTCTCCAAGGATGTAGCTTGGGTCGAAGCACTTGTCCACTT